TTTCATGTTATTCCTGCAAGGAAGAACAGGCGTGTTGTTCCAGCTGAAGTTCGCTTTGCCTTAAGGCGTGAACAAATCGTGTTTTGTGTCCCTGACAATCCGGTTTATCCCAAGTTTCCAGTCAATGCTTTTCTGAAAACTTCATTCTCGGCTATTCCAATAGAGAAAGAGGCAGTTGTGAACTATGGAGGTATCTTCCTCGAGTGTTGTTTGCACAAAAAGTATTCATGATTATTTGCTTACTTTGAATTGAATTGCAGATGTTACAGGTTGCGTTGTTCATCTGACGATTCCAGGATTTCCAATTAATGGTGTTCTTAGTTTTGAGCTCATCATACAAGACATCAGGTTTCTTGAATATTCTTGTGCTGATTTTTGTTCGTTAGACTTCATGTGGGATAAACTGATCTTTTGCTGTTATGTATAGAGGAAACAGGGCGACAGTGAACTACTCTGGAACTGAAGTTATAAAGTATTTGGAGTTGGCAGGGGAATCTGAAGCTCGACTTCCTCTCATTACCACAGTTACTGCTGTTACAAGGCTGCCAATCACAGATGCCACCGGAGATGCATATGTATTTCAATCTTCACCTGGAAGTCGTCTGATCATTGGTTCTTATAATCATCACTATGAGAAGATCATGAATAGGTATTATTATATTCGAATTCGATGTTTATATATTGACAGAACTGCTCTGTTGGATGCTAGAAAAACAATACGTACATTCTTTTTGTTGTTTAGGTTCATGAGTGATCGAATGCCAGTCACTTACATCAACAAAACTTCTCGCCGCTCTATTGGTTATCTTCGTGGTCTTCTTCCTCCCAAAAGAACCCTCGGGCAGCTCAAGGATGATATAATGTTCCATGCACAAACCTATCAGGTATATGTATGATATTGTTGTTTTGATTGTATTGGATAACACATATCCCAAATATATAGTCATATCTTTTACCTATTATAACACAAATTCCTTCCTTCAGGCTCTCTATCGTTGTATGGTGGAAATCACAAGATTTACATACAGTCCAGAAGTCTTTAAATCATGTTCGGGTTTTCCAAGGTATGATTCAATTTTATGTTTTACTCATAATATGTTGCCCATTGCATTTCAGGAAGATCAAAACATTCCTTTTATTGTTTAATTCAAGGTACGATATGAATTACAAGCAACATGTCAGTGCGAGGGAAAAGATGTTGATGTTGTGTTTGATCATGAGGCTGTGTTGGCCTTGGTTTGGGTTTCACCCGAGGAACTTTTCAGTCTGACGTATAAAGAAGTATATCAGTGCATTCAGGACAGGTGTCATGTGCCTTTTATGGCTGAAGCTTATGTTGCTCCTGGGACTTCAGAAAATCCTCCTGCAATCCGAATTGCTTCAATCTGGAACCCTGAGGCTTTTGTGTGATATGAAACTGTTCTACTTGGAACTTAGTTTGTCGGGACAGCTTATTTATAATTCTGTATGTTATCTATTCAGGACATAATACTCTGTTTTCTGTAAAAAAAAACTTAATGTTTTCCCCTCACTACTCTGGTATTTTGAAAATTCACCGATGTACTCACTTTGACAATTTGCAAGGTGCTGGTTATTCTGCTCGGTCCATATGGAAGTCTCTGATGTTGGTACCTCAATAGTTTAGAGAGGTCAATGTTTTGTTTTGATCATGAAGTGGCTGATTGGACACATGGAGAACTACTTTCTGCCTTTAATATTGTATCTACCAAAATAATTTGTAGGAGAGATTGTTTGCGTTTTGAATTCTGGGCAGGTTCTTCATGTTCTTCCTGTTCTTGCAGAACGACACAATAGAATATTTTTTCATGATCCTTTGATCGAAATTAACAGGAGACATTGTTTGCGTCTTGAATTCTTCGGCCTTAAACGCTTACTAAAACCGAGCCCACGTTCTGTTACGTTTTGATAGTAATGGAATGATATTGAGCCCACCCCGAACATGCTTTAGGATTGCAGACAAAAGCCCATGGGAAACTGGCCCAAAATCACCGCTTCCTTTACAAACCCTAACTGTCTTCATCAACCAGATCCGCCGTCCACATTTACATACACTTTGCTCCGCCGCGAAACCCCACCACCGAACTACACGACAGCCTTTAAAACAAAGGTAACTCCACGTCCTCCTCTTTCTCACCGTTTTCACACTTGGCTATTAACTTCTAATCATCATCCACGTTGTTTGCGTAAATCCCCACAAGACATGGAGGGTTTGCCCAAAAACCAGCAGTCAACAGAGGTCGCTCACATGGTCCCCACCGACAACAAAGGTGAATGCTTTCCATTTTTGATAAAGAATACTACCAGGTATCTCGAATCCTCTGCTCCAAAGATAAAATATGAGTTTCATTTCCCTATACTGTCTTATTATAGATCCGATCGAAACTTGCATGCCATTTCGAGGGCTGCGTCTGGGCACAAACGTCCGCATAGTAATTGCTAGGCCTGTGATGGCATGGCTCGAGTATCAAGAGGCGCCTAAGCTTTAAAATCTGAGCATGCACATGATCTGGATAGATAAAAAGGTTTTTTCCATTTCACTTACAGAATTAGATAATCTCTTCGTCAACAATTTTAAACTGCTATAATACATGATTTGGAACCGTTTAACTGCTTATCTTATAGGCACGACTAATCGAGTCAATGGTTGATGAAAAAGACATCAACGAGATTTCTCGGAAAATACAAGTCGGGAACCTTTATCGGTTTGATTCGGTTGAAGCAATACCAGCAAGAGAGAATCCAAAGATCGTTGCAGGAGAGTTAAGAGTGCACATAACCGCTGATCACAAAATTACCAGGATTGAGGAGGACCCAGATGAGCCGCGCTTGCCCACTGGCTGGGACATTGGGATGGCTTTTTCGATGGTACCACTTCAGACAGACACCATCGACTATCATACAGGTACATTAACTATATCTATATATGTTTGATATAATAAAATGAACTTAGGCTTTTGAATGACAAACTCTTGTGTTGCTTATAGACATCACCGTATGCATTAGGCGTCTCAGTGTTCCCACAACAATTCGCAGTAGGCTCAAAGAATTTCACATGGTCGTTCAGGATGTGAGGTACATTTTGTAGAATAGAATCTCGATCTATGAATTGTATGAATCAACAACCTCACATGTTAATGTCACTGACAGTGGCGCTAAGGCAACTGTTCGGTATCGTGGATATGATATACCGAACTTCTTAGAGAACGCCCCGACAGCTGAGGCTCATCTGCCTCTGATTGTTACAATCAAGTCTGTCATTCGGGTGGCACCTCTAGCCGAGCAGAAATACAAGTATCGGTTCGAATCCACTCCAGCCAGTGCACTCATGATCAGATCTTATACAGTCCCAGTCCAGGAGATAATGCACATGTACATTTAGTTTGACAGAATCCTTTCCATTTTTTGAATCCTATTTGTTGCCAGTCGGCCAAAACCGATTACATTGCCACTTTTGTCTCTTTTATGCTACAACCAGTTTCCTTTACAGTCGCAAGCAAGTATATTTCATGGATGCCAATACCAGTAAGAAGACAGGCTGCCTTCGATCAGGAATCGAAAAGAAGACACTCTCTGACATGGAAACAATGCTTGCATCTGATCAGGCTGTCCACAAGGTTGGTGAGGGACAAAACATAAACCAAATTCCTATACTGTGACCCTACATTTTTCGTAGACCAATGTCTTATCAACATCTGATGTTCATGCTAGGTGCTCTATCGTGTTAAGTTCTCCATCTCACAGATGAAATTTCGAAAAGCCATATGTCAAGCGACTGAGGACTGGCCAGAGTAAGTTTTCTATTTCAAGACGACAATTACATCTCATGTGAATCAATCTATCTACGAATAAGCCAACAAATTTCTGAATTTATACTTATGACTAGGCTGCACTATGAGTTGGAAGTCAAGTGCAAGCAAGGAGATGATAGTCTTGATGTCATACTGGACCATGAGGCTACACTATCAATAATGGGACTGTCACCCAGCAAATACAAAAAACTCGATGCAGAATCAGCCAAGGCGTTGCTGGTCAAAAGATGTAGCAGAATGTTTGCAGGAGAGCTCTACACCGGTTCCTCAGATCTGAAGAACAGAACCAGAACAGCCGTATCCCATATAAGAGTGGCTACCCTTTGGCACACCTCAAGGATAGATAAGTAACCTTCAGCACTACTGACAGAAAGACCAAACAAAGTATCCCATCCACCCCCAGAATTATCCATTCTAAACTAAAGTTTCTATTCCCTACTTTCAGTGAAGACAAAACTATGGCAAATGTGTTTATGTTTTTACATTTCGTCGAAGGCATCAGATACTCAAGTTTTTTGTCCCTATTTTCAATGAAGACAAAACTATGGCAGATGTATATGTGCGGTGAGCACAAAGTTTGTTAATATGTTTGTTAATTTCTGCGCTCTCTAGCGCAACGAATATAAACTATTTGCGAATGGTCCACAAACAACTGGAGTCAATCTTACCCCGCAGCGGAGCGCGGGCCGAGTACTAGTTAAATTAGAATAGAGCCTTCGTAACGATTTGATTAGTAAACTTTAATAGGATAGGCGATTTTATTATAGATAATTGGTATTGAGTTGGGTCGAGTAATTTACTCTACAGCACACGAGTTAGTATAAGTCGATCGGTTTAGTTATGTGTGTAAAAATAAATTGCAGATACATTAGTTATGTTAGTTGTATTGTAGATGTTACTAATTAATATGTGGTATCAAATTCAATATTGTACATTAGCCAACAATTTGATTAGTATAGATTAATTTGTTATTGACGTGGTATCAGAGTTTTTTTTTTTATAACTGACAGGTCTTCTATTCAAATACCCAATTAGTTATCTCTCTAAATTCAAATTTGTCTCCCCTCTCTCTAACTTATCAAAATCCTTCCTCCAACATTGTTGTCAACACCTCTTGGTGATTGACGATAGCGCTAGTTTATCTCTCGATTTTTCTGCCGTTTTTGCTCCCTTATCCTTTGCTCTGTATTTTTTCTTCGATTTTCCATCCATTGGTGGCCTTTGTAGCCCCTTTGTGGCTTTTCCCCTTTCCTCGAAGTGGTTTCCACTTTCCTTCCTAAGTGGCGGCATATATCGTTGCATATTGTTTTTCGCGCGAGGAAACTCTTGAGTGTAATATTAATACTTTGCACCTTGACTTCTTTGGACAACAATTCTAAATACGGTGCACGCCTCTCTGAAAAATGTTTGAACGAGAGTGTTTGTTGTTTTCGATAGCCTTTGGGACAAAGGAAGTTACATTACTCCTATTTCTATGGAGGGTCAGTGAGAGGTACAGAAACTAAGGGCTATGACTATGGCCACATGGCAGAGAAAAAGATGAAGTTTGACTTGAAGAGTTAAATGTTTGGTTGTGGAAAGATTTTCCCGTCTTCGTTTCTCCTCTTTATAGCCACCCGATCCTCCTTGACTATCCCAACATGATGATTCCATACTCAACTCCTTTGATGTCAACTTAGTATCATCTTTTTCTTGTTACCTAGCTCGGCTTGCCATCCTCGTCTTGTTAGCTAGGCCTTGTTACCCAAGTTGTCTCATCGCTTGATATCCCCTGCTACCACGCTAACCCTGCCGAAAAGGGATCTCCATGCGTTGTCGCCTTGGTACCCTGTCAAGTGGCCATCTTAGCTTGTCAACTTGGTACCCTGCTACTTGGATACCAAGCCCGTCTTGCCGACTTGGTACTCTGTTGGCTGGCTACCAAGTCTTGACTCCATACTTAGCCAAATTTCATGTCTTAGTACCCCCTTGGTGTTTGGTAGTACCCTGTTGGCTGGCTACTAAGCCTTGCTTGGTACCCTCTTGGCTTCATGCTTAGCCAAATTTTGCAAATGTACCCTACTCTGTTAGCTCCATACTTAGCCAATTTTTCATGTCTTGGAACTAAGCCTGCCTTGTCAGCTTGGTACCATGTTGGCTACATATTTAGTCAAATTTTATGTTTTGGTACCAAGCCTGCAAGGGTACCCTCTTAGCTCTATACTTAGCCAATTTTGTTGTCTTGCCTTGTTGGCTTGGTACCTCCTCGGTATTTGGTCGCTTAGGGAGAGGCGACATTAGTTATCAGGGTCATGGGGGCGATCGATACTTAGGCCAGGGAGATGGTGTTTGACCACTTATTCCCAAATAAACTAGGGTTAATACCTTATTATAGCCCGAACTATGATCATATAATCAACTTTGGCCCGTGGTTTCATAAATTAACATCCCGGCCTCAATTATGCAGCATATAGACTAGCTTAGCCTAACCAGTGAATTTCCGTCAATTTAGACGGTCAATACTGTTGACCGTTAGTGAATCAACATCTACTGCTGACGTGGATGCCATGTAAGCAATATAAATTAATTAAAAAATCTAATTATTTAATAAATAAAAAAATTAAATAAAAAAATTAGAAATGAATATAAACCTCCTTCCTCTGTATCGTCTTCGGTCAAACAAATCTCTCCCCAATCTGAAAAAATCACAATTTCAAAACCACAACCAATCCCCTTCCTCCGCCTCATCCGCTACGCTGTCGCCTTCCTCTGCTCCAATACTCTTCGTCCATTAAGGCCGCGACATTTCGAGACGATAAAGCTTTCCCTGTCCATCAAGGCGGAAAGATCTGTGCCGGGAAACCATATTCGTCGGAACACCGACAGAAATATCTCGTCGCGCTCCCGACTGTCACCGACAAGTTTCGTCGCTTCACTTTCCCGAGCATCTTCATCACTGTCCGCTACCACAAGAAGATCCTCAGATCCAACGCGCTGACGTTGTCGCTGCTCTCGACATCGCATTAGCGACATGATTTACTCTCTCTCTTGGAACCATAACTTGAAGATCTGGAATTGAATCGATTGTTAGGGGATTGGGGGAGATGCAACACGGTGGAGGAAGTGAAGAGAGAGAGGGATATGAGTTTAGTGAAGCAACCATTTTCAAGTGGCTTGCCACGTCTCTCCCAAACTCCATTTTCTAGGGTACCATTGATTTTTGCCCAGCCATAAGAAATCGCTGAAATTCCTCGAACGAATGAACTGTTGGGTACTTCAATCGAAATTTGGATCTACAAGCTTGGGGTTTTAATGTTTTCCTCTTATGCATTTGGTTCCAATGGTTTTCTAAGAACATAGAACAGAGCTGGCGATGGGAAAGAAGGGGAAGAATGATGGTTAGGATATTTTTTCATTATTCATTATTTTGTTAATTATATAAATGAAATAATAAAATATTTTGAATTTTGAATTTTTTCTGGATTGGTGCTCACATGGCAGTGAGTTGGATAGTTGACTAACGGTCAACACCACTGACCATCCAAATAGACGGTCAAACCACGCGTCAGGCCAATTGAGTCTATATGCTGCAGAATTGAGACCAGGATGTTAATTTATGAAACCACGGGCCAAAGTTGAATATATGGTCATAGTTCGGGCCAGAATAAGGTATTAACCCAAAAAACTAACCCAATAAGGTCCAACTAGCTCATTTAATGATCAATTTTGAGCTTGCCTTATAAACCTACTAGCCTATAGCCCGGCCGTTGGCCGCATTTGTTTAAGGAAATGGAGTTACAATATCTATAATGATAGTGTCGAGAAATGAGTCTTGTTTTATATTATCATAAGATTGTTGCAATTTTGCAATTCGTTGAAGACGAACATGTAATTTGAATGAACATTCATAATAAGTTAGAAATACATTTGAAGATTAGCTAATCACGATAAAAATACTTGCATGAAATTTTACTAATCACAAATCTAATCTAGTTGAGTATTACGACAAATAACATGCAAGTCCAAAATAAGAAAACTCAAGACATTGTCTCATTGTTCATGACATGGTACTCAATTCAACAAAGGCAAAAATAATTTCACCAACACAAGTTCACAATAACCAAATGCATCGTTCCAGGGACCGACTGTGACCATGACTTCAAATGTCTGTTCTCCAAGCATGTTCAGAAGGGCCATATAGTCAGCATTGACAACATCTGCATGACTGAATACAGATCCAACAATCGTTCGTAACTGTGATGACGGGAAGACGATGTCAACACCAATGAATTCGTCCTCAATTGTGAGGTGGACGAAATGGATTCTAGATGCAGGGGACCAGGACGTCGTCAAATTCGTTACACGTCCGGATAACAAAAAAGAGGTGCCCTGATGTAAACACAGAAACGAATATTGTCAAAGCAAATCGATAAAATGCAGCATGCCACAAAAGGCGTACGATTAAAAAGAAATTAATTTGTTTAGTTACCTGATTTTCGACATCCACTTGCAACATAATGAGATCGATGGTGTCGGCACGCTCACAAATTTCAAGAGCATCATCATATTGCAGATTAGCAATAAAACCATGGGGAAGCCTATATATTGGACTGTAAGTTTTGGCAGTAAGTAGTGAAAAAGAATCGAAATTACATGATGTAGTATTTGTTGGATGCATGAGCAGTACTTACTGATTGTCTGATTGAATTGAGGCAGGCCCGCCATATTGAATGCAATTCGCACGGTCAATGGAACCGAAGTGTTTTGTATGGGAGTAGTAAACGGAAATTGTAACATGAGAGAAAGTGGTATCTCCATTATATAAAGGAGAGAAAGTGATTCTACACACGTGATTTACTTGGCCGCATGCAGTGGAGTACGTGTGTGTGTGGAAAGTGGGATAGTGGGGGAGTGGAGAAGGATTTGTGGCCTCGTGGGGGAGTGGAGAAGGATTTGTGGCCTCGTGGGGGAGTGGAGAAGGTTGGCCATTTAGAGTTCAAGAGGCGGCTGGGTCACGGAACTCACGACCCACCTTTTTTTTTTTTAGGGGAACGACCCACCTTCTTAAAATCAAACATGCGCCTTCCTTTTATTTTGTTGCAATTAAAAATTCAAAAACAAAAGAAGGTAAGTACAGAATAAAATAGAAAGAGAAGAAAAATCCGTTCACTTTTCCCAAAAAAGACCTAGCAGCCGCCCAAATTATGCTTTTTCAGTTTTAATAATTCTCACTTTATTCTTTTATCTCTAATAAGTGAAACAATAATTGTAAAAAAAAAAATTGTTAAGTCTACCAAGTAAGTCAACACCGGTTTATGATCGGTTTTTAATATCGATTAACCACCGGTTATTTGATAAACCTTGAACCTTTTACTAATCTGGATCGATGTCCGGTTCCGTTTTAACAACATTGCTAATTGCAACTGTGTCAACAATTCTTGTCCAAAATTGCCTCTCAAAGTTGCTAATTATTATTTGATGCGCCAACCCGGCCGGCCCGGCCCACACCACCACTAATTAACATGAAATGAAAATCATAATGAATGTATTTAATAAAGAAATAATGGCTTGGAATGCGGCAGCCTTCACCTCATAGAAGATCCAAAAAAATCGGATACTGGGCACTAGAGGAGGTGGGGGAGTGGAGAAGGATCCGCCCAAGGTAGTGTAGGTTGGCCTTTTTTTTTATGGGAATAGGTTCGCCATTTAGTTTCAACAAATCCGGCTGGGCATTCCCTCTCTAACTATATTTTATTTAACTGAACCATGCTTGGGTTGTGTTTGTGGGCTGGGTTGTAGTGTTTGGTGTGTTTGGGTTTTTTCTGGGTTGGGTTACCGTGGGTGTTGGGGTGGGCTTTGGAGTTTTTCTCTTGTGTTTTTCCTGATTTATGTATTTGTGGGTGAGCTTTCATTTTGTGTTTTGGGTGGGCTCAACTTTACGATTTGTTTAGACTTCTATCTTTCAAGGATCATGGTCCAACTCTTTATCATTTTCCGATTTCATAATGAAATCAGGTTTCATAAAAAAAAACAAAACTGAACCATGCTTAAAGTATCACTAATTAATTAATCTCGAGTCACTACTTAATGAATTTAAATCATTTTATATAGCTTAATTTATAAAATAATTATTGTAGGTAAATGAGAAGAAAATCTCGCAAATCAAGTGTGATAATAGTTAAATTCTCCATAAGCAAAGTGATATCATAATTAATGTAATTAATAAAAAAATAATTTTGTTTTTCATTTTGTGAATGTAATAGTTAAAAGTTGATGATATTTGTTAGATTGTAACTAAATTCTGCAAAAATATGTTTCTTATACACATAATTCACATTGGATCATAACCAGCTCATCATGTTATCATTCATAGCTATGCAGAAATGTGTGTCTGACATACCATCGCAAAATCGGAATTCAAACAATGTACACTAAAGATGATCAAACCAAAATTCACTCGAACTCAAAGGAAACTACAGCAAAGCACGAAAACGGGGAAGTAACAGGTGCGCCGTGAGTAAGTAAATTGTAATGGCAGGAAATTCCACGGAGAAGTAACAGCTGCGACATTTGAAGTTGAAAACCAAAACCGGCTGTGGTTCTTCCCCTAAGACTTGGCGTACACAGAAACACATACAGTACTGACTTATTAGAGGAAATAGGCAATTAAACCCGCAACCTGTGAAGTGGTATCCTTTGAGACAACTATTGAGCTACCCAGTCTTTTATCGATTTCTAGGTATTGCACAATCACAATTGTGAGGTCAATAAAGAAGAAGTAATTGAAATGGTTGCGTAGGTATTCAACAATTTGAAAGCAGGCAAACTCATAATTACATGAAACCCTCGAAATGACTTACACAAAGGGAAACCAATTGTCCGTTGATAGGCATTAATTGTAGTCATGAGATTGTCAATTATGCCATATCAACCTCACAACATCAGCTCCTAATCACTTATGAGATGTCTCAAAAGTCAGAACCACTCTCTAGCCCGTTCACTTTTAGCTTTCTAATTCCCAGAGTTTGATTAATTGGGGGAAAAAAATCTTGGCGAGAAGGTTTTCTATTTTTGGTAATACATTCATCATCTTACCTGGTTCCTGTCCTTCTGAACCTGCTCCATTATAGCAAACACACGTTCGATCCCCAGGCTGACTCCAACAGCAGGGACTTGCTTGGTGCCATACATGCCGATAAGGTTGTCATAACGCCCACCAGCCGCAATCGAACCAACCTGAAAGGATCAATACATTAGACCAGACTTATTGACAAACAAAATCCCAGATCAAAGTTGGAGTAACAGAACGGCAATGATAATAACGCACTTGTGTAGTTCCTTTGAAGACAGCCTGGTATATGACTCCAGTATAGTAATCAAGCCCTCTGGCAAGGCTCAAGTCAAAAACAACTTTGCGAATGCACTTTGAATGGTCCAAAGCTTCAAAAAGAATATCCAATTCATCCAGATACCTACACACCTGAACCGACGATGAACCTGCTAGGAAGCTATTTTGCAGAAAAGGAGAAGAATGGACCGGAAACAATGCACAGAGAGGTAAGGCCCGATTCATGAAGGATGCTTTGTCAAGAATATAAAGCAGTTGCAAGGTGATTCAGCTCAAACAGATAACTCGGGGTCGGAAAGCATAACCCGTTGGTAAGACTTGCCAGAATGGTTGTTGAAAGTAAACAAAGTCATACATTCGAACTAATAAACAGAACAAACACGTGGCAGAGAGAATATATTTCTACCCTAGAGTATGATTGTGACAATGAAATTAACCTGATGGCCTAGAAGTAACGACCCAGAAATATGGATATACCTTATTTGTGTATGAAGAAGTTTCCTCCTCCATGCCCTTTCCCTTGATTATAATGACAGGACATTGTGCGTGGTTTGCGCAATAGTTGCTTACACTCACCAAGAACATCCTGTCGACGAACACCAGATGTTAGCACATCACTTGTGTTCTTGTGTAAGATAAGATCACAGCAGTCCTAGTGAAGCTAAGATGTTTTCACAAATAAACACATATTTAAGATAACTTCATACATGATCTACCCTAATCTACCATTTGAAGGCCTGTCTCTACCAAACCATTGAATCTTGTTTACACATTAGCTTCTACATAACCTGTGACCCTGCAATTATCTCTACAACTCTTCGTCCACAGAACAGAATCTATCCCAAGGAAACCCATCAACATCTAGAGCTCAAAAGGACACCAGTATATGGCATCCCCAATCACCAAACACCATCAACCAATAATGAACGACTTAGTTTTCAAGTACAGCACCTTTTGATAGCACCAAAGTCTCGGGAGCCCATCACCAGCAAATCCGCATTAAGACTCTCCACAACTTCACATATCTTGTCTTTGGGATCTCCAATCACCGCCTTCCCACAGAGCTCCGCTTATCCCAGTGAGTGAATACTCGAAGCAGCGGCGCTCGCTGCGGGGAGTCGAGGATGAAATCCACCGCGCCTGATGCTTCAATACCGCTGAATCGACCCGAATGTCGCCGCCCCGAAATATCAGCAGCAATTTGAGGCCTGTGGGGACGCCGTCTCCGCCCGGTGATACTTGATCGGAGATCCAAATACTCCAAACTCAAAGATATGAAGACAACCCCCAGATTTCCGCACAGCCTCAACCCGTCGACCAGCCGGCTCAACTCAAGCTCGGGGAAGATGGGCTCTCTTACGTCATCTCCAATCACCAGTTTCGAGGATCCGACTTAGACCTCGAACTCGAGCAATTTAACAGATAAGGACCATCAAACGCGATGGTCGGGCGCAATCGATAAGGGAAGAGGACAGACAGACAGCAACTTCTTCTTCTTCTTCCCACCTCCGATTCTCTCTTAATAACAGTAGAAAAAAACAAAGGAACTGATGCGAAGGGGAAGAGGAAGGAGCTTTGCCTCTGGATTTTGTTGTTTTGCACGCTTCTTCAGTGGACCATTTCCTTCCTGGGAAATAAAAAATAAATACAAAGTAAATGAGAACGTGGGCCTGGAAGGAGAAAAAGGTGGGTAGTTGACAGTTTTTTTGTTCTGAAATCAGGCGGGACTCCTTTTTTTTCCCGCTTAACACTCTGCCACATCAGCTTCCTAAAATCACTCTATGGGCAGGAAATTTTGAATGGGGGGTGCAGTTTTACTTTTCAGCTATAAATTATACTGTTGATTAAATCTCTTGTAACTAATCGATATGATATGAAATCAATTTTTAGGTGAAAACACATATTCAAACGTCATGATCTTTGACTATTTTGATCGAACGCAAGCTTTGTGTTGCGCTACTGTGCTGTGATGGTTATGAAAGCGAGAGAGTTCTGATTTCACTATAGACTGCCCCTCCTGCAATGTTTCTCTCGATCAATCCATTTACACGCTCATTCTCTGATTCATCTTTTCTGTATGAATTGCTCCATCGGACGTTGAGGTTACCTTTGGTTCTAGATTTTACCTTAGTTTTCAAAGTGCAATACAATCGTACGTCTTGTATACAACAATCCGGTCGGACTGTGCACCGTACCATTCCAATTTCAATGTTTGTATCGCTCAAAAGATTTATTTATTTATTTGGGGCCAAGAGTGAAGGTGTATGTATGTTTGTCGTGATTGGGAAAGGGTACGTTGTGAGTTGTCGGCATCATCAGCAAAATCACAGGAGCATGTGCAGTTGTGCTACCACCGCTGCCGTTAGATGCTATCTCTGTTCTATTATTTATTACTCTTCCTTCCCATTTCCCAATCAGAAACAGCAAGGAAATCAATTACAATGGTGGACCAGGGTGGGAATTCAACCGAATTCTGACCTCTTCCATAAATCAGAAAGGAGCCATTAACGCCCGTTGGCAAAAGTCATTTCTCGTTTTTTTGCTTCCTTCCTTGCTGCTTCCATACTTGAGGTAATGCCACTATGCGTCTATGCCACTATCTCTCGTGTTCGTGGACTACCCAACAATGGAGGTGTGCTCTTGCCATCATCTTCTCCATTCATCATCATGGCGGTGGCAAGCAAGAGCTTCAGCCATCCACCACGTACTCCCACTACCCCACCCAGACGCACTTCAATACTTTTGGGCTGACCTGCTCTGCTCAACCACCCACCTAATGCGCAATACGACCATCACATTCCAATTCCATTCTGCCTCAAAACAACAACCAATCTAAATCACAAGTCCACGAATTCCATCCATTCTCTCTTCTTTACTGCTTTTGCTCTGTCAACTAGTCGTTAAAAGCCAACTAACACGGCGGTCCGTCGTGTGCTTTCTCACCAGACGAGATAAACACGGAAGTGAAGGAAGAAAGCAACCAATTACAGCACGTACTAACACCGTTGCATTAATCACGTTGACAATATTTAGAAAAATAAGAATATTTTCACAATTTTAATATTGAATATGTATGAGACGGACGAACAATCCAATGATATTAGCACTCGAGTGAAACAACAACCATTTTCGGCACAACATTATAGCTACATTCATAAACAACTTAAAGCACAGAAACAAAACGCCATGGAGTCAAAATTTGCTTTGTCCTTTCGCATACTAAGGAATCCAAGGTAAGAACTCAAAAGAAGATAAGTACTTGCACTATGGTATCGAAGAATCATTACTGTCTGGTTGGTACTTGACTCCCGAAATCGGTTTGCATCGATCGCTCCAACCTGAGACAGAAGCAAAAGGGGACAAGCCTTTCTTGAGTACATCAAATAAAGACACATAAGTTTTCCTTATGATCCAATTCAATACATAACTGAATGCTGGTGGTGGTCACCTACCTCAATGCTAATCAACCCATACTTTGGCCTCTGATCTTTTATCTTTTTCTTCTTTTTTTACAGTGTTCAGCATTTGCCACAGAGTTGTGTTCATCAGACTAACAGATACCAGGAAGATGAGATAAAAAGTAAAACAACAAGAGAAGAGAAAAGAATTTCAACCGGAAGAAGGGAGAAAAGAAGAAAGGCAATTAAATAATAGATGTGTAGTTGCTGTATAAGCTCTAGCTTAAGCCCATGGATCATCCCAGCCTTTGGGACCTTCTCCATTGACGAAATCCATGACTGCCTTCACAACCTCATCGACTCTATTCGAAAGTGAGTGATTTCCATGGTCGATTTCAACTTTCCCCGCCCCTCCCATTACTCTGCACAGCCTGTTCCCCCCATCCCGCAATGGACGAAAATAAGATCTCTGTTTCCTCAAATCAAAGGGGAATACATGTATGCACAGGTTCATAACAAGAACTTCAAGTCTCTCACCTTTGTACCAAGGCTTTTTTGTCGACATATTCTGGCACATATTCATCGCCCATCGAAAAGATAACCTGCTTATTATCAACCAAACAAACTCAGAACTACTATCATTGAACAATAGCCAAACAGGCAAAAAGAGTACATCTTCAGATTCAGATTCTATACCTGGCAAGGTGTGTTGCACATGTGCCCAAGCCTGAGTCTTAGTTGATCGTCGCTCAGATCAGAGCTAAACATGTCGTCATCGCCCATATAGGAACAAAGTGAGTGATACCTGCAAAGTGGCAATAGTTATTGAAGTTTCTGATATACCAAGTCCTGAATGTATCTGTAGCAAATAATTAGGCAACACTACTATATACATGAAGGGTAAGTTTGTTTTCAACTAGCAACTAAGTAACTTGCCAAAAAACTTGAATTAAAACACACTTTCTCCATATAACTTCTTGGAACAATGATTCACATTAAATCCCATAACTTTAATAGCTCAAAACCATATACCTAACAAAATTTCATTTCTACCCTTGTCACTTTAAAATAGGAATCTATTTCTTAAGGTTATCCCCCATAATAGACATTTCTAAAAGTTCGCGCATTTCTTTATCATTCAAGAATTTATCTTCCACAAGAAGAGAGGGGAGAGCATTTCTCTATAATTTCATCAATTATTTTTAATTACTAAGAAATATCTCACAACCAACCAGCTCAACTTGTCTTAAACCCATCCAAGAACACTTCTTCATTTCTAGTATAACTGAAAAAAGAAATCTCTTTCTCCCTTGTTTGTAGCAAATGCTACCCCCAGAGACCCTGAAGGAAACTCTAAACTATCACGAGACAGATGAATGCATCACAACCATGGTCGGATTCAAAGGGGAACCTGTAAGCAGTTATTGGAGCACAGGGATCAGCTTCTCTGGGCATTAATTCTGATCCCTTGCCTTCTGCTATCATAGATGAAGCCAAATCAATCATAGCAGCTGTTTCAGGTAGAGTTGCTTTGTACTCCCGATCACTAACTGGAGCCTGAAGAAGAGTTCGGATAGTAAGTAAAAGCTTTGCAAACAGAGTACATTTGTATGCCATTCGCGAAAGAGATGGAGCAGCACCAGGGTAGTTAAGAAATTAGAAGTGGATGACTGTTGAAGATTGGAATTGGAAGAGTACATTAATTAGTACCAGAGAGTGTAGTATCAAGAGAGAACACCACCTACAGCCTGCTTTTAGCTCTTAAACATAAATTTGTGCGAAAAGTTCTGAACCTGTGTACTCTTGAGGAACTAGATATCTTACCTGCAAAATGGCACCACGTACTGCTCTACAGCATGCAGCATTGGAACGCAAGTAATGCACAATATCCTAAATCATGTTACATAAAGACAGAAGATATATTGCATCAAGAAATGTGTAAAGGGAAAAAGGAAGCTTCAAATGCACCCGACATGCCTCAAATTACGTAATACCTGACAACCAGTACTATGCCCGAGAAGAATCACTCCCTCAGAGTTTTCTTTGTTGATGAAATAACTTATCAGCTGATCTAGCTCCGCGGAGTCCTTGATTATACAATAACCAAGCATGAGATAAAAAAGAAAAAAAAAAGAGCATTTTACTTGAAGGAAAACAATCAGGGGATTAGTGACGAACACATTAATTAGTACCCTATGATAAATACAATGCTTACTTGTTTTAAGCTGGAAGTGCCAAATCCACTATATGATGATGACATGAGAAACTGAACAAGAGACCATTTCTCCCTATCCAGGGCAATTGCAAGAGGTTCCAAATATCTAAAGCCCAATATGAGATGAAGAAAGTGATGTCAGTAACTTCAAAGTCCCATTAGTCCGTCCTTCATATGTGTAGTGTAACTAAACTATCCACAAACAATCAATGACGATTCGTCTCCCTTTCTTTCAAAGATATTGGCAGAGGGGAGATGCAATGCAAAGAATGAATTAAACATGCTGATACGTACTCAGTTGCAAGAAAACCGTCTGTCAATCCACCAATGAAAATGACTTGTTGTTTATGTTCCCCCGTTTTGAATGCAACCTGCAAGAAAGGCAAACTACAAAAGTCATTCGAACATCATGGCGGATATGTTCAGAGCATTCATTTGCAGGGTGTCTCGGGTAAAGCAAACAGTAACAAGCACCAACAAGAAAGAAATTAGAAACTATAGTAGTTCTTATTGTTAACTAAAAGAAGAGAAATGGCAGAAAGGCGGAAACATCATCAAGCCGAGAGTTAAGAATCCCTAGCGGCGAACACTCCCATCTTCCAGGAAAGCATATGGCAATGAACAAGAGTTTCAGCACAATCCAGATTACGATCCTGGAGGCCAAGACTCTGGAAGCACACTTTGGTCACTGTCACCAAGTAACACCTAATAAAAAACAATGAATTGATTTGCACATAGTCTTTCTTCATCTAACAAACAGATCCACAACTATTAACTTAACTGCGAAACCTGCTATTACTACCTACTCGCCAGACCCCCAATTTCGGCCAGTGAACATGATTTTGACAATTCAACAACATATTAACATCTCAGGCTTTCAGGCTCCAGCAATTTACCTGAATCGCCTTGGGGCCGTACTTGAACATCAAACCGCGGAACTGGTTCTTGCCTTTGATCGGTCCATCATTCTCGGCAGCGGGCAAATTACCGGCCGGTTTCATGCTCGCGGACCTATCAGCACGGCCGCGAACAATGCCGGAGAACCATGAGGCTGCCCCGCCGCCGGCGGAAGACGAAGATGCGGACGGAGACGAGGAAGACGATTGAGAAGTGGGAGAAGATAACGAGAGATTCATGTCCAAATCAAATCAAATCCGAAACCTCCCGCGCTGCGCCACCACCGAATTCATTTCATCCGTCGAGAGATCAGCAGCTGGACGAAGGTGAACACAAAAACGGATCTGACCGCTTCAGTGACTGGTGGTATTCGTCCGCCCTTCCCTTCGTTCACTAATGGAGAAGATGAAAACTACTGAGTCAGTCCACTCCGCGCTTCCATTTCTGTCAGAAAGTTCTCCAGATTTCTCTCCATTTTGAAATCTCCGGTTGGGTGAGCAACTCGCTGCCCGTGAATCCATTGACTTGGATTTGGGCCGCTGGTGCAGCTATGGATTGGGCTAGTCCATACAACGCCCGCATGGGCCCGTTTCACTGTGACAACATGCTGGAGGGTACCACGTCTGATGGGCTTCGGCCCAAATCGGTGGATTTCATAGCAAAGTAGGGGTATCATTTATCAAGTCAAAGAGAAGTGATCAACTGGTTCTCGATTCGTTATCACGAACTCCAATATCATGTCGAGAACCATCTGTGGAGATGTTGTTGGATGTCGACGTATTTGTATGTAGCATAGCATATTTAGGTATGTGTAGATGAGAACAATCGTAGTCTTCCTTGTCTCCTAAAAGGCTGGCCAACAAAACGACAAGAAGCCATCCATATATGTGGTTATGGCAGGCTAGGTAGGTCATTTTCGGGATGGTGACCGGTGATGATAATGGCTAATAATCTGGTTGATTGGCGTCCAGCTAAAATGGCTATTTGTAGAATTTCAGAACAGAGTATTTGGTATTAATTCGGTGTAGAAAAGTGCCATTTTTGAGCACATATCCTGGTAAAGTTGGCACATTAGTCTTCCAGCACCGCAATTCCTGAATGGACTAGCTTCGACTCCCCCACAAACTGAACTGATTCCTACCTACAGGCACCCATGTTAGTAGTAGGTTAAAAGTACGAGGGGTGAATGCTTGCTTGCTATGCTAAGTTTTCTTTTTTCACATTCGTTTTGTCGTTAGTTAGGCCTAGGAGATTGCTTGCTGACTAGTAGGGCGGCAAATGAGTTTGAACTGTTCACGTGCAGGGTCGACGTTTGGTTCGGGGGAAAATTCGTTCGAAACTCGACTCATTTACTAATGAGTCGAGTTTGAGCTAAGTATAGTTTCGCTTGCGAGTCGGTTCGATTCGGTGGCTGGTTCAAGTCAACTCGTGAACTGGGTCGTTTTTTTAACTTGTGAGAGGTCTCAACATTGTAGCTAGTAAACCAATTCGATTACCAAAATATAAACATAAAAAAGGGTGTCCACTCTGCGACAACTTGTTAAACCATCTCTAACGCAAAATGCTATAGAATGTCAAAGTTTGGGGATAAGGCATACATGATGTTAAAGACTGAGCTCTAACTCATACCAGGTTGCTCCGAATTAAATTTACGTGTACGTTTGTGTATACCTAACTCTATTTTTTTTATTTTGTCCTCTCTTTTTTAAATTGACGGTCAAGATTGTTTCATAGTAATTTTGGAAACTAAAACTTAACACATATGATTGTCGCCCCCTTCCATATCCATTTCTCTCCTCTAAGAACCAACGAACTCACTCTCTCTCATATGCACTCTCTCTTCCTAGCTATTCGCTCTATCGACTCACTTTCGAAGACTGAGTCGTGCGACCAAACCACTACTATAAGATAGGCACCATAACTTCACAAATTCCACTTTGTGTGTCTTCTTAAGATAAGCTGGAAAGCAATCAATTGGTGAAAAAGGAGAGCTTATTCTTGATTGATTAAACCCCAAATTGTAGTCTAAAACCAAACTTCTCTAAAAAGAATTCTCAATCATGAAACCACTTTTGTTTAGAATGGACTTAAAAGTAGGTAGATAATTGTAAGGGTCATCCAAAATTTTCTATTTACTATACTGCTTTGAGGACTTGACCTATAAAAGAGCACTAAAATAGTGCATTTCCCATGATTGGCATGCACCACATGATCTCGTTCCATTTTTTTGTTTTGGTTGAAAGGATGGATATATAAACTAATTGATAACGGCTTGGCTTAGTTAGTGGAGTTCATCATTGATTGAAATCATCATATTAGGCCTTCGAATTCAGAGTTCATAATCAAGTATGTAGAGAGACCCACCCACAAAAAAAGCTTTCTTTTTTTACTCGTAGTAGCTCATCGGCGGCACGGGTCAATAGAACGAGTAGAGCAGCGCCATCACATTAATCAAAGATATAAGATAAATGTGTGTAGGACCGCGCGGAGTGGAGCAATCTGAGTTATTAATAGTTGATTTAAGTACATAGTATTTAGTTTTGGTTTTACCGTCCGAAATATTGATATAAAATCTATATTGAATATTGTCTTGTAGTACCTAAAGGAATTGAGACAACGTGTTTTCGAGGATATTAAGAGTATTGTTTTTTTGTGAATGATATATAAAATATATTAAATACGTGATAATCGGCATGTTTGAATTTCAAATTTATGAGTTGGCTTTCATATATTAGCATATTGTGATTGCAAATTACATTATTTATAATCATGTGGACTGAGTAGCAATTAGCCGAGACCTAGCCCTAATCTCCACATGAAAGGGTATAAAGGGCCGTTGTTATTGTAGTTTGAGACTTACGAGGATGCAATTTCCGTTGGCCGATATCACAAAACGGGAAAATCACATAAATCGATCTTGTGTTATAATCCTGTCATAGTGAACACTTTAATAAATATTTGACTTTACAATATATCAATTATAACCATGTAATCTTGATTTGTAACCATCAAAATCCGTACCCAATTTATAATGTCACAGTTTTCAAAAATTCTAATCTGCAGCAGCCAACCATAAAATTGGATTTTCTCGAATATTACATGGGTGAGTCGGTTTGAGTTGGACGATTGGGTCGGATTTCGGTTTTGTTTGTTACCCGGCCCTAATGAGAATCAAAAGGTGAGATGTGGTGAATGGATTGGTGGCTGCTGCTGCGCCTGCGCGTGTCCTTTTTCTTTTGATAACTTAGCCTCCCTTGGTGATCATTAGTTAAGTCATCATTGCGCAGTCACATACAAACCCGATTTTGATATGCCGAAAGTGACCTTTCAATTTATATATATTTTCCCGTACACGCACGCTTAACCATTATGATCATGAAATGAGAGCAAAAAAATATTATAATATCACACAATCCAATTGACGTATTTTATATTTGGCTATTTGCTGATATGTTTCCACCACAAACACATATATAAACGATCAATCATGTATTGTGTTGTGTGTTTTCGGTTTCAAATTTCTACAATTTGTTATGTTTAGATATTTTTATTGTGATCATAAAGAAGAATTGATTTATTAGTTGAAACACAGAGGATAGGGAAGTTATCACGGTTCGATGCCTAGCATGAGCATGTATTTGTTCTTCTTTGCTGCTGGAAATGAGTGGTAGTCAAGGTTGTCAAATCGGTTCATGCCAGTGTGCCCTGTGCCGGTTTAGCAAATGGAATGGTCGACCGGTGGCACATACCGGTTTGTGCCGGTTCATGCCGGTCAATATTACAAATAAAATTATAAATACTCATATTTAAACATGACATTTAACGCCAATACCTAAACATTTATACCTGAATCCAACAAATAACATCAATATTTAACTTTTATACTCATAAAATAAATAATAAAATAATATTTATAAATTAAATTCGCTAAAATAAGGTCATTTTACTTAGAGATTCGTATATCGATCATGTCGGTCATGCCGGTGGTGTCACGCCAATTTTATGACCGGTATCGGTTGAACCTGGTATAACCGGTGGCACGCCGACCGGCGTGACAACCATGGTGGTAGTACACTCCATCTTCTTCACAAAATCTGTGATGAATGGTCATTGGGAGATTTTTCATGTTAGGGGAGATAGAATATTTTGATAGCGGATTGTTCTGAAATTATGCATTAATAAGATTGATTAAAAAAAACTCAATAGTTGTCTAATGGGTATAAATTAATATTTTTTTGGTGAATTTTGAATATTTTGAGCCATGAGCAGTAATTTGATAAAACCCAATGACCATGGCCGATATGAAAGGTGGACCTAATTACATTATGTTACATCATGCAAAATTATTATCACATTTGTTATGATTTATATGGTACAATCCGCCTTTCAATTCCATTTTTCTGTGTCTCTTTAGTGGCTTCACTTTTTTTATCATTTGAATTCGATCGATGGAGGAGACTAGTTGAAGTCTGATCGTGAAGTGGGTTTGAGTTTTTGACAATATATTATTAATTATTTGTTTTGTCTGGGGCATTATATGGCTTTTGTGCATAACCCTTCGATTTGTAGTGTAGTTGTCAACTTGGAGCCTTAGATAATCTTAACTACTAATCACCTTTCTAATCATCCCATAATATATCATCATGTTGTGATTGTTGGGCGCCCTTCTTATTTCTGTGCAGGTTAGCTAGTGATCGAAAATGCCTCTTTTAATTTCCTCCATTTTCATCATCAAATTTCTCTTTCTTGAATACTTCCCCGTGTTAATTTGGGCCTCTAATCTCAAACCCTTAATTAGAGGCTGTCCTGAACATATACAAATTGTTGACATTTCTAACCTTTATTTTCTTAGGAGGCAAGAGTTAATGCAATTACATGAACTAAGGATCGTCCGTAAGTTGTGATTGTTTTTACAAGATTGATACAATACACAAACTGTTTAGAATACATATGATTCTTTGTTTTGTTTTTGTTTATGCACAATTCATAAATTCTTTGTTTGATTCGACATAAGTTATTTTTCAAATTGAACAATCTTTTTATCCGAAGATACATGCATTGTCTAATTAGATAGTAAGTAAACTAGAATTAGTTAGAAGTTACATCCCGTTGTTTCTCTCTCAAACCCTCAAGATTTTGATCATTCAGCTCTAATGAGTTCAAGATTTAAAACAACTAGGACCCTAGAGCTAGCTAGAATATGAAAATTTGAACAAGTCTCTTGCTCCAAAACCTCTTTTTATAAAATATCAATATATTTATCTTTAAATTGGAAAATTTTACATGCTATTAATGACACTTACATTTAGAAAATATGAAAAATTATAAAATAGCAATTAGGGAATTAGGAGGGGCCAACTATAATCTCACATAATTAAATTCTTTACTATGAATGTCTTTCTATCTCTTTTAGAAAAAATTATTTTCTAACTTATCTTTGTGATACCTAGACCCCCCCACCCATTGCCACCACCAAATTGCCGTTCTTCTCATTTTTTATAGTTAACTTTACAAACCACACCAACGGTATATAACCTTACGTTAATTGTTAAACAACCGCCCTTTCCTTTTCAGTTTCTTGCAAAAGCAGAAGAAATTAAGAACTTGCTATTTTTGCATACTTTTTTTTATGGTTTCTTCCCTTTCATTTGAAGAACTAAGAATCTCATGTGTCATGTCATCATTGAAATTTTAATACTTAGTTCGGGGATATTTTAGGTTATTGAGGAACAAAATTCAGAAGCAAGATGGCAACAAACAAGAGGAGGATGGTTTAGATGGATGTATTTCATAATCACAGACAAGCCATACCATATATAATCTTTAAGGAAGTTAATCAAGCCATACCATATATAATCTTTAAGGAAGTTAATCAAGCGAGTAAAAAAGAAGCAAAAACATGTTGAACCCTGATCATCTTATATCTCGTCATGTTTCTTGCTCTTACCTCCTTATTCATTACGATCTTAATCCAACCTATCCTTGCAAATGATGAAAGTCACCATGCTTGTGTTTGGATTACGGGTTTGGTTGACAACTACCATTAAAAGAGAAAACGTTTACATGAACTTTGATTAGATCTCCACAAACAAAATTAAAGAAAACGTATTACTAACGAATTGATTAGGCTTTTGTCATTTATGGACAATGTTACTAGGTTATGTGGTTTTGTGGTATGATATCAAAAGAAACATAGGATAGAGTCATTTCAGTTCAATCACAGAAAAATGAAGAGATTGATGATTGATTAATTAGTACTACTAGCTAGTTCTACTTTATGCTCCAAATTAAATCAAGGTTAATAGGCATGAGTTGTATTGGAGGTATTGGAATCAGTTAGCTTGTCATGTCATATCAACTTAATTTAATGGTCTTGCTTTTCCTCCCTAATTTCTTTTCGAATTTTTTTATTTTTAGGTATCAATTGAAAGTTCAATTCAAAACCCACTGGAAAAGGGAATTCCTTTTTGTTTAGCCCACTGCTTTCTTGAAAACTTGCTCACCACATATATACTCCCTCCTCCCCACATATTGTTGTTGTTTAATCAATTGATAAGTTACTAGTAATGCAGGCTGCAGGCAGCCAATGTCAAGTTTTGTTCTTTTTTATTTGGGAGGTGGATTCATAGTGTTTATAGTACTTTAATCAACATTTTGTGCTGGATTGAACAATTGAGAGGGGAATCCTTCCATCCTCCTCCTACTTTTTGTTGACCATAGTCCATACACATAGTCCCATGTGTTGTTTATTTGAGTTTTGTAGCAAATTAAAAACTAAAGCCTGTTATAAACGTGTTGCTACGGATCGGGAAATTGTCTGAGTCGAGAAAGCAAGAATACGAAAGCGAGAATCGAAAAATACGACACACGATTTACGTGGTTCACTAACACGATGTGTGTTAGCTAGTCCACGGGCGAGAGAGAGACAATTTCACTATATCGAGGAGATTACAGATTACAGAGGAGATGAGAAGTATTTATACTTCTCCATGTGGGTCTAACTTAATCCAATCTGACAAAGGAAACGACTACAGACCAGGCCTGGAACCCGAACCCAATAACATTGAACCCAAATAACAACGAGACCCTCGACTATTCCAGTCGTAGCGGCTGATAGTCCGACTCAAGTCACATCAACAAAGCCAAATTCTTGAAATGGTGATGATGACTCACATATGCTAGCTAGTCTTCCTATGTTAATATTTTGTCGTTGTTGATGATGATTTATGTTCTAAACTTTCATAGGAAATGGATTGATTTGTACGAGGCTATTGGGATGAGTTGCCCTTTCTCGTCCGAATTGGGGATTAGTTTATTGCATTGCTCGTTTGAATGAGGTGAACTCTTTGTTTTTAAAAGAAGACTGGAAATTATCGTTCTATCCCATCGTTCTACATTTAAACGGCAGATGGCACACTTTCATAGAATTTCGAAATCATGCTACTCTCATTGTCTTGCAAATGCTCTCAACCTTTTTTTTATAAGGGTGATGAGGGTTCTAATCTTAACATCCGAGCGTGATTGATTGATAGAAAGATAGAATTAGAGGAGAATTTGATAAAATCAGGGAGATAAACAAATCCGGGACGATGAATAAATTAGACGGAATCGAAACGATAGAATCTAGAGATTAGGGAGAACAAGAGAGAGACTTCGAGATAATGATTTAGGATGATGTCCCTGTTAATTCCTAAGGTACAAATATATTGGAAAACATCCCAACCCCTAAATCTAACAAAACTCTTCACCAAATTATTTTCTTTTCAACAAATTTTTTGCCCTCACTCCCCAGTAATCAAGTGATCATTTCAAACTTGGGATGTGGCTAACTCAAAACAGTAGAGTGATTGGGGAAATGATAAAGTGATGGGATCAGTCAGATTCAGACCAATCTCCATTGTTGCGGCTGCAAATGATTGAGCAGAGTTGTGCTGCAGATAAGTATAAGTTCCCCCTTTGAAAGAAAAACAAAGCTATAATAATAATAGTAAAAGAATAGGTACATTTGCAAGGCAAACACTGCCAAAAAAAAAAAAAACTTGCATTGGCTGCATACTGCCAATTCAACGAACAGCATCGACCTTTTCCAGCTAGGCATTGCAACAGGGATGTGCGGGCCCCATTTCCCACCCTCCTCCCCCCTCTACCCATGATTCTAGTTGACTAATTTATCTTATATTTCTTCCAATTAAAAAAAAAACAAATTATGTAAAATAATTATCAATTGGAACTCTCTTGACATATACGTCTCAGACTATTAATTTATACAAAGATATCATTATTTTGAATTACGAGAATAAAAATCTAATTCGAAAACACATCGTATCAACCTTACGTCTTAATGAACTTTCGTATAATCTGTATAGAGTTTTCTGAAAAGAGGAGGAAAAAAAAACCATATTTCTTGGTGCAGCGTTTGTTGTTTGCTATAAATACCAAGCTCACAAACACTGATTCTCCGTGAAGACGACTCATTTAAAATAATTCCCCTCCTTCCCATTTGTCTCAATCATCCTTCCACCTTCCCTCTCTTCATATATTCCTCACTTTTCCTTTCTGTACATCAATTCCCCAATACCTCTTGTCCACTCTCCCAAACCTCACTAGTCGTCTCTTCTCTTCAATCTCCATTCCCAATTTCCCTTTAAGCGGATCAAGGTATAAATATATACACGCGCGCATCATCGTCTAAGCAAAACACGAACTGTCTTGTGGCTTCTGGTTGCTCCGAGCTAAACCAGGATTCTTGTTCATAGCTGCAGTTGATTAGAGCGACGACGATGATGATGAATACAAGGTTATCTGCAGGGGCGTGCAAGCAAGTGCAGCTCCCGAGCATGAATTTCGCGCAGAAGTCGTCGTTCAGGATGGAGCCGGCACTGCCGCTGCCGCCGCCGACTTCGACGACGTCGTTCTTCCGCAGCAGGAAGAAAGAGAAGGTCGTGTTCGTGGTGGGTCCCACGGGGACAGGCAAGTCCAGGCTGGCGATCGACCTGGCCACCCGCTTCCCCGCCGAGGTGGTCAACTGCGACAAAATGCAAGTCTACGAGGGGCTCGAGATCGCCACCAACAAGGTCACCGACGGCGAGTGCCGCGGCGTGCCCCACCACCTCCTCGGCGTCGTCCCCGACCCGCTCGCCGACTTCACAGCCGACGACTTCTGCCGCCACGCTTCTTTCTTAACCGAATCCATCCTCGCCCGCGACCGTCTCCCCATCGTCGCCGGCGGGTCCAACTCCTTCGTCGAGGCGCTGGTCAACCACGACGTTGACTTCCGGTCCCGCTACGAGTTCTGCTTCCTCTGGGTCGACGTGGCGCTCCCGGTTCTCTACGCGTTTATTTCCGACCGGGTCGACCGGATGGTCAGGGCCGGGTTGGTCGAGGAGGTTCGGGCCGTGTTCGACCCGACCGATAGGGATTACACGCGCGGGATCCGGCGCGCGATCGGCGTGCCCGAATTGGACGAGTACTTTAGATCCGGCGGCCGCAACGCCGCCCTCCTGGAGGCGGCGATTGAGCAGATTAAGGAGAACACGTGTATTCTGGCTAGCCGGCAGTTGAAGAAGATCCAGCGGCTGAACAGCCAGTGGAACTGGAGCATGCACCGGGTCGACGCCACGGAGGTTTTTCTTCGCCGGAGCGGGTCGGCCGAATCAGACGAGATCTGGGAGGAAATTGTGTCGGGTCCCAGCACCGCGATCGTGGATCAGTTCCTTCACCGGGAGTTGGATCTCGTTTCGACGGCGATGGCGGTGGAGGAGATCAAGGCGGCGGTGGGGATTCCTCTGCCCGCCATGGCGGCGGCGGGGCTGACCCGGTAGAGGGGAGCGGCGGAAAAGATGAGAAAGGGAAAGGAGTCGAGGCGGGCCCCACAGAATCAGGGGGGAAACATTCACATGCTTGTGCCACGTGGAAAGTTGAAACGGTGCGCTTGGTTAATTGGCTTGGAGAGGAAGGATGGAGAATTTTTGGTACTCATAAATAAATAAAAAAGAAAGAAAAGCATAAATGGCAAAAGTTCAAAACGCAGCGTGCGGGGAGGCGAAAGGCCAAAGGGAAATTGGCTGACGGCGGGGCGCACGTGCGAAGGTGGCGGGGATGCAAAATCTGCGTCCGTACCTGTGGTACCAATAGTGATACAGTTGAATCGTTTGATTGATAACTTTCTTTTGCGGGTACCTCTTTGTAATTTTGCAGATGTATCTTGGTTTTTTTTCTCCTTTTTTACTTACTTCTGTTCATTCTGTCTTAAGTCAAATTAGGAAGACAGTATTGAGATGGTATACATGATAATACATACAAGAATCAATGCAATGATTGGTGTATCATTGTTATATATATAATGATGTTCGAGTTGCTCTCAACTTTGTGTGCCTACTCTCTATGTATAATCTCCAATCGAAATATCAAACTTAATCAATATTGTTTCTCTTTTTATTTTGGGTATATACGTGATAGTCTGTTCTGTATTGTGTTATATATATGTATATATCTCTAAAAAGATAAAAATGTACATTATGGACAAACCATATGTATTGTATGTTCATTATTGGTAAACTGAAAGAAGTATCAACAACCTAACACTTCAAAGTATTTAAAGTGTTGTACTCATATGGAATATATTCTCAACCTAATTTCAGTCATAAAACTATATAGTAATCATTAATCTCAAATGAAGCGAGTTAAATTACGAACCAACAATATAAAGTCTTTTTATGCAGGGTGATATATGTTTACTTAACCTTTTACGATTATATACTACTTAACAAATTCAAATTTGATACCTTCAAATTCAAAACTAATGACATTAAGTCAAGCTTCGTAACAACATAGAGCCCTCTTGATCATGAATAATTGAGGAAGTGGTAATTAGTGCACTAAAAAAGCTCATGACATAGCAATAATACTCTTTCCTTGGTTCACAAATCCCCTCCAATTGTGAACATGCATGTACTGTCAATTAGGGTAAGCATCGATATTGATTGGGTGAAACCCCCCGCCGCTCCTATCAAAATCAGCATTTAGCTTTGAGTGGGGGATTTTGATTGATGTGATTTGTGCATGCGTGTGGGAATCGATCGAGTGTAAATTAATTGATTGAACATATTTGTTTGTTACACTACATAGTTCATCCCTCATTTGGCATGTCAAAAAAGGTGACCAAATAAGAATAGTTCCCCTTAGCCGTGTTTCCTTCTTATTTGAAGACACAAAAGGGATTTGATTGATTTTCCAGGGTGTGACCACCGAGCAGTGGGGAGGCCACTTGAGCTCAAGAATCAAGGGAGGTCCTTTGTACGTACCACCACCTTGCCTCTAGAAAATGTAGTAGAATTTAGGGGTGTTCAAATGGTTACCATGGTTATAACCAAATTGAATAAGGCTAAATTTTATTAACCATGGAATACAATATCATAACCAAACCGTCCAAATTGATACAACAACCAAATTAACCAAACTAAAGTTTAATCAGTTTGGTTAATTGGTTAACCAGATTAACCAATATAAAATCAGATTATTATGGACGATGAAAAGTTTTCGGTTAATGCAACAATTCGTAATTTATATAATGAATAAAACATAACAATCAACACGTAGTTATAGTTGACCCTTAACAAAAATACATGCAACTAAGACAATTATCTTACGATTAGTATAGAAGTATTCACCTAACAAAAATTTATGACAATGGTATGGGACTATGGGTTAATGAATTGTTGTGTTTGTGTAAATTGACTTAGTCTCTTGGCAATTATCATAGGCTGGAAATGACCTTCCTTTCAAGTTTTCATCCATCATAATGTATGAAATTTATCTAAATTACGCGTCCATATGTTGTGGTCTACACTTTACATAGACAAATATACACTATATGAGCAATATTGAGCTTTATATTTTATGAGTCTAAAAAGGATGAACGTTAACTCTTGAGTGGTTATGCAAAGTATTAAGTATGTGTATATAATATATATTAGATATATGACTAATTACTTAACTGGTTAATTTGGTTTGACTGGTTAGGAGTGTCTGAAACCAAACCAAACCACTGAAATCAAACAAGCTAAAAACTTTAACCAAACCAAACCAATTATCCAAATTAACCAAACAAAATTATCCAAATAGTACCGGTTAAAACGGTTACCACGGTAACCAAACCGTTTGAACACCCCTACTAGAATTATGAATTGGACACAAGATATTCTTAATATTGCAAACAACTTTTACGTAATGTTATGTGATATATCTATTTAATTTTAAGTTAATAAATTTTGTAACTTAGTTTAATATAAATGAGAACTCAAAACTTAGTATTGTGATATGTTGCTATCAGTTCTCACTACTCACTGCAATTGTTGAAATAACACTTACTACAATGAAGAACGTGAAGAAACACTTCATAATCAGATGAGCGATGAAATCATGAATGATATTTCAATGGAGTACCTTACGAATTACTACCCTCATAATTTGCATGATGAATGTATTTTAGAAACTTTTCAGAATATGATAACTCATTATGAAATTCATATGTTATTTTCACGCAGGACCTACGTTAGATAAATTGCATGCTACCCACTGGATTTGAGTGTCCTACTAAATTGGGTGGGTTTTAAGCTAAATATCGCTATATTATTTCACCCAATGGAATGAGGCAATTGGCAATTGTCCAAAGTTATCTGTAATTGTATTCCTTTTAATGTAGTCGAAATCTAGCTTTAAAACGTAAAAAAAAAAAAAATTAGACTTTTATGCTTCATACCCATTATATATTGTAATTTTTAACTTTTTTCCCCCAACAAAACCCTAACGAGAAAGTTATGTAAAACTGTTAATGCGCAGCAAAAACGATAGTAGTAGGCTTATAAAATGAGTTTATAGGATGAGAATCATGATTAATTTTTGAGTTATTCAACCATTACAATATAGATTTTCGCGGCAAAGAAATAAAACCCACCTCCATTTTGCTTAAATTTGGAGAATTTCACAACTCGATGGAAGACTTCGGTTTTCGTCCACATACATCTGCGACCAAACTAATTCCTCTACAAATTTTGTCATCAAGAAATCTCATCCAACTTCCACCATCTTACATTTGCTTAGAAAACAAAGATATTGTAGCTAGCTTGGCCACATTACTAGTGTTTGGCATCCAAGTCATTAAATTTGGACTATATGTATATAGGAAGAAAAAACCGCATAAGGCAAAGGGGTCAAAATCAGCTTTGCTAATGCTAATTAAAGTTGGTTGGAGGGATCTTCTTTATTCTTTATCATCATTTATCTTCGCCTTCTTTGCACCTCATATCATACAAAAAAGGGCGCATTCATCATTTCTAAAGTTTCCATCTCCATGCGTGAGTATCTAACATATAAGTACACCTATATATATTTATATATATATATATATATATATATATATATATATATATATTTTATAATGAAGCTTTACTACTATAATAATAAACATCTATTCTTTCGTTTAACAAAATTGTGTTATAAATTTGTACTTATTTATTTTCGTACAAATTTCTTTCTGATACTTACTTCTTTTTAACCTTTAAGTTTGCTGAAAAGATTAGTCGGAATTATCGGGGAAAAGAATATTAACCGAAAAATTGTAAATTTTGACTTGCTAGTAATGGTGGGAATATAATTTTCTTGACGAAATTGTTAGAGCTTGTCAACTTTTGATATTGGTACGAAATAGGTATATATGCTATAAATATGCACCACACGTACGCTCATTACACACGATATGATATAGCTTTTAGTCTATCCAAGTAATACTCTCTCGCACTATTTACCTAATCAACCAATTTTAACTTAGTCTTATCTGCCCAGATGCCTTAATTATCCTTGACCTTTAGTCCTTTACCCACCTCTCAGCCCCTTTACATGTAATTTTGGAGGAGAGATTATTATATCTAATTTCGAAACGTTTGCAGCAAATTCTTATTAATTACATCCAATTTTTTACAGGAAATCCTGACTTCGTCATTGAGACAAATATAAATAAGTTAACATACAACCAAGTTGCGATGCGATTGATTGTCCTCCTCCACGTTGAGGAGAAACCTTAATCATAGGTAGTCCATGACAATTTCGATCGCCTGAATAACTTGCATTCATCACCAAAGCAAATAAGAAACGTACATACTTTTCTTGGAGATAAAGATTAATCCGGTGATAATGTGAAAAAAAAGCACCATGGTTTAGGTTCGTACTTTACGGCCAACAACCCAAGAAAGAAAAAAAAAAGTTAGTGTTTGGAATTGTGGCCAGCTCAAGCCCAAGACCAAGGAATTTGATGCGAAAGGTGGAATATAATTAATTAATAATGAATTGAAGATAAGACATGATGTGCGATTGATTTGAGCTAGATCCTCCCGTCCCAACACTCACAGACACAGTGAGAGATCGATGATCCATATAGACGAGATTGGCAGTTAATTAAGACCTTGGTAAACAAGGATTAATCGTCGATGCAGCAAGTCGGGGTTGTTCAAATGATTACCATGGTTATTACCAAACCAAATAACGCTAAATTTCATTAACCATGGAATACAATGTCATAACCAAACCGTCAAAACTAATACAACAATCAAATTAACCAAACTAAAGTTTAATCGGATTGGTTAATTGGTTAACCAGATTAACCAATATAAAATCGCATTATCATTAAGTGAGAAAAATTTTCGGTTAATGCATCAATTTGCAATTTATATAATGAATAAAACATAACAATCAACACATAGTTATAGTTGACCCTTAACATAAATACATGCAACTAAGACAATTATCTTACGATTAGTATAAAAGTATTCACTTAACAAAAATTTATGACAATGGTATGGGTTAATGAATTGTTGTGCTTGTGTGAATTGACTTAGTCTCTTAGCAATTATCATAGGCTGGAAAGGACCTTCACTTCAAGTTTTCATCCATCATAATGTATGAGATTTATCTAAATTAGGTGTACATATGTTGTGGTCTACACTTTACATATACAAATATACACTATAGGAGCAATATTGAGCTTTACATTTTATGAGTCTAAAAGGGATAAACGTTTAACTCTTGAGTGGTTTCGCAAAGTATTTAAGTATGTGTATATAATATATGTTAGATATATGACTAATTACTTAACTGGTTAATTTGGTTTGACTGGTTAGGAGTGTCTGAAACCAAACCAAACCACCTAAACCAAACAAGCTAAAAACTTTAACCAAACCAAACCAATTATCCAAATTAACCAAACAAAATTATCCAAATAGTACCGGTTAAAACGGTTAGCACGGTAACCACACCGTTTGAACACCCCTACAGCAAGTTGTCTGATAGGTCTAAGTAGGGCTGGCTATTTGGTCTGGACTGTTTGGTTGTACCCGAAATCGGACCATATAACCTTGACCGAGACCGGACTGGGACCGGATAACAAACAATCCAATCTCATATTCGGGCTTAGATTTGAGGTAAAATAAAACCTGGATAAAGACCGGATAAGAGACCCCCAACACTTAAAATCAAGATCAAATTGGGACCGGACCGGGTCAAGACCAGACCGGATCAAGACCGGACTGTATCCAATCCAATCTTTGATTCTTATATTCCCGAAAAAACCGGACTGAAACCGTATAAATTTGATCCAATTTAAACGAACCGGACCGTATAGCCACCCCTAGCTCTAAGGGAACGACAACATGCACAAGGCATTGTGTCTCGGTATCCTGCCGCCTAGCTATCTGGTATGAATTGGTCTTTAATTTTGAGCTGGATTTTGGAATCTTCGATTCATACTAGATCTTTCTTTATCATTAAATTATGTCGGTTATACACTCTTCTTCCTACATGATAATTAATATGCACGGCACAGACATACACCGTGTTCTAGTTACTTGGTTACTTCCACGTCCGATCGATTGTCCTACTGCCGGCACAGCTAGCTTGACTGCTTGATCTTAATCATATGATTAATTGCATGCGTCACCTGAACGCGGTGGTCGGTGGCCGGTGGTGGAGATGTATCTCTCGACAAACAAGAGCTAATAAGCTGGCCAGAAGAAGACATTGCGCTCGTTTTCGTAGCTAGTATTTGACTTATCATTTATCCTAACGTACAATAATTAGTTCACTAAACCATCTTAATTAATATCTATAACTAATCATTTGTTGCTTAGCTTCGGTACTTAAAGACTTCACCACTTACGTAAGTAGTGAGCCGGTGGGTGGGTGGGTAGGTAGGTTGGTCACGTTTTAATAAAATTAAGCATCCATCGGCTAGCTAGCTAGTTGTAATTTGATCATGTTTATATACCTATGATGACGACATCGTAAGTTTCCTAGAAACTCATAATCATCATCATTCGTGGATCCAAGAAGTTGATAGCTAGCTAGCTAGCTGGCGTTAATTAGCTAGTTGGATTAGGTCCTTTGGTTTTTTGTCAGCTATATGTACGTTGAAGTTTGTCTTTCTTCAAAGGTAGCAAACTATGTCAACACGTATATCCAAAACCGGATGACGACGACTAAATAGTCCTAGTAATTATTATAATAATAATCACTAATAATTGCCATGCCAGCAAATGATTAAGACACTTAATTAGTAGCTAGCTAACAGTGGTGTTTGACATTTGTGGGTTTGGTCTATCTGGATACAAGATGACAACCCTCTCTACATCCAAAAGACGCGTATATAAGCAACATATGTATGTTCTTTGGCGACTGGTGATGACTGGGATTAATAAATTGATTAAAGCTATGCTAGGACGATATATATAAAGATCCATTCTGGATTTTTGTGCACCAAAATTTAAATTTAAATCTAAATCTGAATCTATAACCTTAGATTTCTGTTTTTTCTTTCTACAATGTCGGATGTTGATGGATTAACCAATCTGACTTGGTTGATTATATGAATCTTTAGGTGTTACTTACTTATAGGTTATTTAAAAATAATCCAAGTATTAATTCATCAATTAAAAAAAAAAAAGAACTCTTTCGACACATTTCTTCCTGCGAAAGAAAAATTTCTTTGATAAGACTCGTGAGCGCTTTGTCGCTTAAGTGATCAATACTTGTCTAAGAGAAAGATGATATCTTGAAAGAGTGTAATAACAATAAGGTGTTTTCAAGCAACAATTTTGTTATTAGTTCATTGCTCAGTATTCAATGCATGATGTAATGTACATTAGCTTTCACGTGATGATCGATTACTATATATTCATATACGTATTACTTATAGTCCTGAAGTCTAATACATTGTACATCACTTTGTGTATAGTTAAGTTTTATGCTGATATTCCTTCCCCATTTCCAAATAGATATACTTACTAATTACTAAGAGGAACAGAAAGAATATGACTGAACCATATCCTAAGTTACTTCCGGAAAGGTCCACTTACCAATTTAGTTGATTATTATATAAAATTGTTTTCTAATGCAGCATTGATGTGTACACTAGCTATCTAGTTACTTATCCCAACTTTCGTTAAATTCCTCGCCGCCCCAATAGCCTTTGCTTTTCAGATAAATATGGCAAAGACTTAAGAGTGTGGCTAACATCGTCTAAATATGCTCCAAAGATAAGCCTTGTTTATTTCTTGGACTGCCTTTTCAGCTGTGAAAAAGAGAAAGAAGATTAATTAACACAAAGTAAAAAAAAAAAAAAAAAGATTCATAATAATTAGGAGGGGCAAAAGCTATAGAATGTAAGAATCTGGGGTTGGTTAATAATGGGTATAGAACTACTAAATTTTGTTGGTAGATTCAATGTCGGGGAGGAAAGTGAGAGGGAAAGAAAGAAAGGAGTGTGTTAGAAGTATCGTGTAATTAGTTTAATCGTGGAAGTAATTATGGATTAATTAGTCAAATTAGTTTGTTCCACTTGGCAGTGGTATAATTGGGACTAAACTAAGATGTATGGATGGCAGAGTTTCTTTGCTGGGTCCCCTCCATCGTTCCGTACAATTATTCTCTGCAAATCATATGCACTCTGATCCCCTTTTCCTTTGTTAATCGCGAAGCTAATCATGGTTTAAAAGTTGTTTTCTTTTGGTTCGAAGAGCGACCATAATAGGTATAGTTAATCACGGTGTGAGGTTTTAGCTAGAGACCACACACATTAGGGTTTGAGAAACATGGGTTAATTAGTAAGTTGGATTGAGTTTTGCAGATGCATGGAAAGACAAATTTCGAAAGATCAAGTTATGTGTATATCTCACGCACAAATATATTATTAATAACAACATGTCACGTCGAGATACAAGAATGTATACAATGAAGATTGCATGCGACAATAGTGAGTCACACTTGCACGGACAATTCTTTTATCTAATTTGTTCATAAAGTTTGCACATGAATGATACTAACTTCTAATCGCCAGATATAGTAGTGAGGTCTTTCATTTCGAGTAACCTGCTTCATTGGATGAGATGGGAGCTCGTATTTTTAAAAAGTGCAACTTCGTTGAAGATAGTTTGGTTGAATAGGGTGATTTACAGTTAGAACCGTTTACAGGGGCGTAGCCAGGATTTCGACCAGGGTGGGTCCACTTTGAAAAAATATATATGATGAAATAATTTTTGTTAATTTTTTTAATTATTCATAATATAATTTTATATTTAAAATTTTTTATAAAATAAAATACATTAATAGTCAAAACTATTAAGAATATCACTCTCTCTATATACCTAACATTTATTCATAATTTAGTTATTCGGTCGCTTTCGAATGATGTTATTTGCCAATAATTATTTACTATAGGTTTAATAATGAATCTTATACAAATAATTATTCATGATTTAGTTATTTGTTCGCTTTCGAATTGTGTTCTTTGTCAATAACCATAGTATCAATAACTAGAGTTGTTGGTTGAAGTTCAATAATATATTTTATACCATTTACCAACATACCCCGTTATAAGAAAATCAAATTATGTGGAATTTAAGTTTGCACAAATTCGAATACTATATGTGCTTAATGAATGAGGTCGTCAAAACTAGAACACAAAACCTTTCGATCAACGATTATCAATTAAACATACTCCAATTTTCCGAATCAATTAATTGTTATACCTAATTTAGTCCTTTTTTCCCCGAGCTAGGGTGGGTCCCGGGACCCACCCATTTGCCCTCTCCCTCCGCCCCTGACCGTTTATCTAATTTGATAAGATTTATTTACAAATATCTTGTACTGACTTTTGAATAATGTTGTTGCTTGTTAGAAAGTCCTCCACAGTTGCACTTACTTTTTTTATATATCATAGTCAGATGAAATAATAGACATATATGATTACAATGGGTAAAAATAACGTCAGTCGATACTAATCGAACTAGCGATGAAAGAGCTATATATGCCACAGTTGCACTTACTTGATTGCCAATACGATCTAATGATACTTTGAAAGCAAAAATATCAAACTTTTTTTTAATATAAATTTGAGATGTCCCTTGTGTTTCCCTATCTAAGATTAGCTAATCCATTATCGCTCAACTAAATTAAGTATGAACCCATCCAAAAATATCCGTATCCAACTGCACGATGTATCTCCCATGTCCCCGATCAGTAAGAGTTGGGCTCTTTGAAACGAAAGCGAGCCATACATATTGGGCCTCTTTTCCTTGATACCAGATACACAATAGTATTATGGGCCTAAAAGCCTACGGGCTAACACATCGTAGGAAAAGGCGGGCACGCTCTTCCTAATTATCCTCCCTGTGCCGTCAAACCTTCTCGGACTTCACCACACTCACACAGCTTCTTATCTTCGCCGGAGTGCTCGGCCTGTCTCAGGCGGCGATGTCCCGTCCGACCTCTTTCCGATTTCCCTCTCTTCTTCAACCCGCAACCCGATTTCTTTCCATCGCAATCCGGTCTCCCCTTCAGAAACCCCCAACTTTCCCTCCCCTCCAGGTTCAAATTTCACTCCGCAGAACCAGAAATCCCAATCCTCACAGCTGCTCCGCCGTCTCCGACAGCTCACCCGTAGAGCCCTCTCCGTCGCCGCCGACCATCGTATTTATCAAAGGACTGTCTCTATCGACCACCGAGGCACGGCTGAAGACGGTGTTCTCCCAGTTCGGAGAAGTCAGCCGAGGTGAGAGAGGCTTGATTTTCAATTCAGATTGGGGATGGAAAATTTTCCTAAAGGATTTTGGGTTTGCAGTGAAAATCATAGTGGACAAGCGAACGATGGAGTCACTGGGATTCGCTTATGTGTGGTTTGTTAGCAAAGCGTCTGCGGATCTCGCTGTGGAAGGAATGAATGGAAAGGTAATTCATGATTGAATTCATATTGGGGGGAAAGCAGAACCAAGTGTGTGTGTGTCTATTGATCATCGTTCATCACATCATTTTTGGCTCAAAGTTTTGTTTGTGTTTCTGGTCCAGTTCTTTGATGGCAGGTTCGTCCTAGTTACCATTGCAAGGCCTGGTTCCTGCAAAATCGACAGGAATAGAACAGCAGCTCATTTCAGGTTTTGATTATCAGTAAGGGTGTCCATTCGGGTTCGGTTTTTCGGGTTTACCCGAAACCGATCCGATTATATACATTTTCGGTTTTTCGGGTTTGGGTTTGTTTCGGGTTTTGGGTTTTTCGGTTTCAGGTTTGGTTTTGCTTATTGGTTTTTTGGGTTCCGGCTAAAAACCTCCAATGAATAGAACTCAATCCGTATTCTTAGGCGTTCAGGTTTTCGGGTTTTGGTTTTGCTTTAACCGAACCCGATAAGGAATTTTCGGGTTTCGAGTAACCGGAACCCGCAAGTCCTTATCGGGTTCAGGTTCGGTTTTAGTGGTTTTTGATTTTGGGATTTTTTGGGTTTCGGTTCGGGTAACCAAACCCGACCCGAACTGACACCCCTAATTATCAGCGGTGAAGGTAAGTGAGTTCGATCATCACGAGTTGTATGGCAATTAGGCAGCTCATGTATCCCAATTCTATCACTGCCACTTTAATCCATCGATGGCTATTATCCTCTATGTCTCTCACGACGACTGCAATTAGTCATTGTGTATTCTTTCCAAGCCAAAAACACTATTGTGGATGCAAAGAAAAGCTTCAGGGTAGTTAGGACTTAGGGTTTATAGAAATGTAAGGTGTAACTGTGAACCTGCAGGAGAGAAATGATCTCTCCAGAGAGCTTTATACTTAGCTGAAGAAGAGTAATGTTCACGAAAACAAAAAAAATATTAAATTGTGAAACTGTAATTCAAATACAGTCACGTGTCTTTAGTTGATTGGCCTTACGTATTTCCAATGTAACGGTAAATGTGTCGGAACTCCACAATGACATCACTTCGTTCTTCAAATCAACTCAATCCTGGGTTGATAATGTTTTTTTATGTTGCGTCTTGGTTCTTTTCACTTCATGAGCTGGCGATCATGTTACTAATTCCACTGCTCAAGCTTTCTCTAGATGACTAGAGAGATGGAACTAAGAGTGACATGGTAGTTGACAAACATATATCGAGATAGCTTGTTTGCTTTTTGGTTCATGAACTTGTGATAATGTTACTAATTCCATGACTCGAGCTTTATGTGGATGCGTAGAGATTTAACTAAGAATATTTAACAGACATATATATTGAGACAAGCAGGATGTTGATGATGAATCCGTATGTTTTTTTTTTATAGAAATCTGCATGGGAGATGTTATGCTCTGTCTGTATATAAGAACCGTGGTGCCCTCAAAACAGGAGGCCTGTTGGCCTTAGAATATACGACAACTTTGGAGTTACTCCCAGCTCTATTCTTTATTGTACTTGTGTGCCTCGATCTCATTTTATATGACTGATCAAAATGCTAGAATCTTTACCAAGCGTTGGTATCGTGGTGGAACATTTGATAAATCAGGAGACCTCATTGCAATGTATAACAACATTTCTTCTTGCCTACTTCATACTGCTCCAAATTGTTAGAAGCTCATATATTTGTTCTGTTTTTAGAGCTACTGATTATGCTGCTTCTAATGAAGGTGGTGACCGTACGTTGGTTAACGAATAGAGGAAAATGAAATGTTAAGTTCCATGATGCTCTATCAATACTACTGTTTTGGTGCATCTTGTCCTCAACCTAGGAAATGGAGGGTAGAAGGTTACAAATGTTCAGTGGCTTTTGTTTTATTTGTAAGATATTTTGGATTTTTAGTTCATCTAAAGACTTGGGAAGAAATAAAGATAGATTTTCAATATTGTCCCATTGAAGTCGTTCTTCTTGGTAACTACTTAGCCAAGTCTAGACTTACGGAAGGTGTTGATGTGATTTTGTTAGAAGCATAGAAGTTTAGCTCTGCACCTGCTTTACTTGCTAAATGATGTTTATTCTTTTTGGACAACCTTTTACGCTGCTTTCTTCAAAGAAAACAGCCTTGTGGGTGCCCTAGAAAGCAACTAAGATTGCTATGTTAGTCCAGTCACTCACACTATTTATATTTGGTCAGTTGGTATACGTGTGATGTTCATATGGAAATTGTCACTGGCTGTGACATAGATGACCCATCACTTCATAACTATTTATGCATTTGGTTGCCCTTAAACTCTACTATTTATCCTGGTAATTTAATATCGACAATGGAGTCCTAGAAGGGAGTTAGGACTGATTTTCTTGGAAACATTGTAGCAAGAGACCCCGTTAATACGGGCAGTGGCGGTGTGTGGAAAACAATGGAAAGTTTGAGATGTTTATACTACGCCCATATGAATTTATTATTTGAAATGTGTTGTAATTTTGCCCCAAGTTGCATCTCTTTAAAGAGGCTTGCCTTTGAACGCTTGTTTGAATTCCAGCTTTTACTTGATGCCTCACAGTTCAGCTGCCTTATGATATGCATTCTCACTGTAGTCTGCTATATTTCTATAAGTGAGCAACTAAATTGATTTGGAGTTCAATCTTAGTGTTTTCTACCTATTTTGTTTCTTCAGGACAATAACTTCTTTAGGACACTCATTATAATTAGATCATTCGGCTTTTCCAAGGCTGGATCTTGATGGAAAAAGGTATGATGCTTCTCCTTACCCGTAAGCCTAATGATCTATTGGTCCATATTCCTTTCTGTATACTTGAAGCTGAATAACATAATTACACATGGGCTGCCTGGTTTCTTAAGCTATTAATTGTCTGAGCAGCGTTGTAAATAGAGAGTGTTACTCTTAGTTAATAATGATGAAAATCATGCTTGGTAGCCATGTTAGAAAGGTGTGATAGTCCAGTCCCATTATCACTCAAGATTGAGTTCATCAATTAGGCATTTGAGTGCCTCCCTCTCCCCTATCCTTTATGTGGAAGCCCTAAATTGTCTTACGGGGAACTTTGGAACGACCAATAATGATAAAGTGAATACTGATTCTGTTTGAGAATGAGAACTAATGTTCTACAAGTGGTATCCTAGAGGTGCCCGTCTAGGAGTTCTAGTTGTTCCTTGCCCCATTTCACATTCTTAATCGTGAAGGGTCTTGTTGAATGATGGTCTTAATGGAGTCATGGGGGAGAACTTCGGAATGATTTTATGATTGAGAAAAATACTTCGTAACACTCTTTTTTGGGACAAATGATTTTACTCATGACAATCGTACCCCATTGTGCCTCTCAATTTGGCTGCCTGTTTGCTTATTCCAGCTGCTTTTCTGCGTCTTTTAAGGGAATGTCCCAACTGGAGACTAGAGGGGAACCTTGGATTGACTTGGTCGAGATAATACATTGTGACCTATGTTGTTTGAGAAAGTTAATGATTTGAAGTAGCGTCCCAGTGTCCCTCGTTCCAATTGCCCTTCTGCTCCATTTCAAATTCACTAATTAGGGGAGGATTTTTATATAACCGAGACCTTAACAGGGTTCGAGAAATGAAATTTGTTATGATCAAACAACGTGAGAGTTATAGTAAGCATAATTGTCAGTATTGTTGTGCCTATGTCCCGCCTTCCAGTTATCCCCGGTTCAGAATCTACTGTTGCGAAACTATTAATATGATAAATGCTACCTCACATGGGTGATTGGTTTGGTGAATACTTGATCAAGGTTTGTGGATGAGATAATTTGATGAGTGTCTTTGGCAAGCAAAATGTTCTGGTGCTCATTATGAGGTAAAATATTCTGGTGCAGTTGATTCTGAATATTCAGCTCTCCGGTGCTTTCTCTTGGTTTGCTATTTTTTGTTGTGGCCTACAAGTGCTCATTTTGTGTTCTTTATGATTGAGTAGACAGTAAAAGAGAGACCTTTGGATTTGTATTCAATAAACTGCAAGTGCTCCAGAAGGTTGAATTTGAACAGTGATTGACATTCTGGGAGTTCTCTGCACAAACTCTTGCAAAATGCCGTAAGCTGCATGCTCTCCAATTGACTGATAAACTTGAACACTCTAATCAGTAGGCAGTACGGTTGCTGTTAGCTTATGTCCACTCTTGCTACTTGGTTTAGTAGAGATGAATTTGTTGAAGCTACCGTTTGCTGTCATTTCGAGAAACTGAAAGGAATTGAGGCAAGTACAATATCCAAACTGGACATTGTCCTTCGATACTGATCATTCATTCAATTAATGTTGCATGAAACCCTGCCAACGAGACCGTGGCAATCATAAACAAGAATCGAACAACAGTTAAGCTGGGAGATTACAGAAGGGTCCTTGCTTTTGGTGCGTTCTGTTCAGCGATGGAGAGACGAACTCCACGTTTGTGCTGGAGGAACGTGGGCAAGGGGTTAAGCAGAAGAAAGGGTGTTTCAGCGGCAGTGCTTTCCCTTGCAACAGCAGCAGCCACCACGTAAGATTTGCTTGATTGTGGCTGCTGTCTCTGCTGGAGTGCCTGATTCTTCATGTGTTGTGTGGCCAGTTTAAGCTAATTTCATTGGTTGCAAGCGGGAGAGTAAGCTGGAGTTGTTTGGTTTAGGAGGAATTAAAGGTTCGAGTGAGAAATTCGAAGAGGTCGGTAGATGAGGGGATTATGATACAACAGTCCTTGCAAGAAATGCAGGGCGTCATTTCTCCATTCTTGAGAATTGCTGGCAGAAGATGGCTTTTGTAGCTTTGGCTTTCGATAAACTTTGATTTCCCCTTAACTGTTTTTCTTTTGCTTTCTAGCTAGTGTCGATGTTGTTCTACGAGCCACAGTGCATGCAGTAAGCTTTTATAAGTTCTGTGACCATATATTCGAGCAATGTAAGCTGAGATTCGTCGAAAGCTTCGCAGATTGTATTAAGGTTTACCTGTCCATAGCAGGTTTATTATGGTCTCAAATGGTTAAGGAATGTAAGAACCACTGGAGATTACAGACCGAATCTGAGCCGAAAACATAAGTATCAAACCATAAAAGTAAATATCGCACTGTAGCAAGCGATAACAATTTCCTAGGATGCATTTATGTATTTCTCTAATATTGGGAAATTACAAGGTCTGCTTATTGTTCATTGTGTCAGGGAGGATGTACAAAATCCACTATTCCCTACAACCTGTACAACGTTGGAGACTCGGTTACTTCCATCCCACGTTACCTATTTGCCGACCCTGCAAAAACCAGGCAATAGAGCCCAAGTGATCAAATAATGAGTTCAATTCAAACTCGAAATAACAGGTCAGTAGGAGCACTAGATAGGCCAACTAAAGAAAGAGACTAGAAGCAGTTATACCTGATGCCCTGGAAGTTGAAGCTCTATTTTCATCTCTTGAAAGTCTCAGGTGACCTTAATGGAATATCTACTTCATCGTCCTCATCTTGTTTCCTTCCACCATCTTCTTCTTGATCCGGTGCACTGATCTCGTCTTCTTCTTCTTCTTCTTCTTCTTCTTCTTCACTTGAGCTCTGCTGCTCATCAAACAGTCTCTCCGTTGTTTCCCTGGCCGTCCTTTCGCCCTCTTTCCACAAACCTCCGGCTCCTCTGTATTGAGAAACAAAGAGAGAAAGCCATGTTGGTAACAGCACCAGAAAAAAAGGGTGGGTATGCAGATAGCAGCATTGAGCAGAGAACAGTGGCCAATGAAAGCCAATATATATATATATATATATATATATATGGTGACGTCTTCGGTGCACCCACTTTTTTGGGTGCACTGAACGCACCCACTTTTTTGTTTAATCTCAACCGTTTAACACATCTAACGGTTACAATAATTTCATTTATTTATAATTAATTATTAACTAATCAACTATATTATATTTATTAAAACAATTTATACTTAATTGTAATTGCAACTAGGCCCCTGACTTTAACTGTCTTCCCCGATTCTTCTCTCCTTTTATCCGAACCATCTTGTTCCTCTCACCCAACAGAGACCACTTAATTTAATCCCTCACAGCAAATGAGAGAACAGAAAACAAATAAATCCTTCCTTCCTCTGGACTTGTTCTTCCTCCTTCCTCTGCTCCCTGTTCCTGTTCTCTTTCTTCTTCTCGATATCTCCTTCTTATCCTCTAATTCTCCTTCTCATTCTCCAATTCCAATCTCAACTCCGATGCTTGCTTCATCAATTCGCCGAGAAACATGGAATTGGCGGGCATGCAAGGAGGAACCGCGATGAAGACTCGATCGAATCCGACGGGGAAGTTGCCGGAAGGATTAGCCACAGAAATAGGTCCGGAGACCGATGAGCTGGCGGGGGTGGTGGGGGAAGAGTTGTGATCGTGAAAGGAAGATCCATCTCCGACCTTGACCCAATATCCGACCCTGACTCCCCTTCAATGTAATCCAGCGTTTTCCCAACCTGCCCCCTTCAATCAAACCATCGGCCACCAACCAGCAACAGAGCATCTTTCGAGGAGGACAAAACCAACGGCGTAGATCTAGATTCTGGATAGAGACGACAAACCCAGCTACCGCCGTATCGAAGTTTGGAGAGAAGACTGAAGAGCACAAGGTTGATAGTCGAGGAGGGGGATTCAGGAGGCAGAATCTGGAGATGGGAGCTCGAAATCTCTCCTCCTCCTAATCAAATCTGGCGAAGCCGCCGATCAAGGGAGGAAGGTCCTGTTTATTGAATTGAATTACTCCGTTGTTTTTATTTTGTAGGGGTTGCAGGCCACGAAGCGGATGGAAGAGCGAAGGAGGTTGAACGGCCTGGAGGAGACTAGCCGGATTTGTGTTGCGTTTCGTCTGTTCGTGGGGTGGTCGAGAATTGAAGTTCGATCGTGAACACAAACTGTTTTTTGTGGAGATTGGGTCTGGGGCGGTACACAGGCGACAATTGCATTAATTTTAGGTAGTACATATGCTGGAAACATCGTTTAGGAATGAAAGAACAAAAGTATAATGAGGTTGAAGAAGGGCAAAGGGTGTGTTTGATCGAAAAGTTATCGGCTGACCCATGTAATTATGTTAATGGGCTTCGTGATCCTGCTTGGCTAGTGGGGTTTCTTTTTGTAAGTGAAGCCCGCACGTATAAAGGCTCGAGTTTCGCCAAAAAGAATGTATGTATGAAAAAATTAGAACCCACCTCGTCAGGTTCGTACCACGATTGTTAATTAATCGTTAACATAGCCAGGGATTTAAACCACTAGAATAGTAGCCCACCACTTGTGCCAGTGACAACCTGTTTTGATTTTAATAATATCGAGCCAAATCATCAAAAAAGGTGTTTCATCGTAGACTTGAACCTCGTAACAAGATCAACCATCACCCAAGTAAACAACTTAAACCAGTACCACTAGTTGGCCGCTTGCCACCTGTAAAAATAACGATCTCTTATGACCTTAGATTTAAACTTTAATTCGTAATATTAGTTGATTGTGGTATGAATCATTCGGTTCTGAAATTTGGAAACAGTTATCCAACCTTGGTTAATAGATTGCGTGAAGGCAAAAAAAAATAATAATAATAAGTGGTAGCATATGTAATTCAATTTTATGACTGTTGTCAACTACACATATCTTTCATAAGACTACAAGTATTTTGTTGTTCAATTTTAAAAGTATCATTTATGGTACTGAAATAGTATGTACGATGGAGTCCATAATTATCATGGTAGCGAGGCACAAAATCGGAAAAAGTAATCCCAATGTAAGCTATTTTGTATGAAAGAGCGTAACACGATAAGACCATAAATCGATCGGTATTTCTGGGATAGATTCGATAGTATACCCGTAATCAACCAACTCGAAATCAGTCATCCTGTTTAAAAACACGAACCATGTTTCTTCATGTTTTCTCACATCACATTCTCGAGCTTACTCGACTAACTTGTTTAGTATTTAGTAAAGGAGGTCCAAATGGATCGTCCCTCAGATTTAACATCAAAGTTCTTACAAAACCTCCTTCATTTCACCCTTAAACTTCTCTCGACGATTAACGTTTGGATTGTTCTTCGTGAAACATGGAATGAAAGTAGACCACAAGTAATCAAGCTAATTTAACTCATATGAAGATCAAGTGATAGATTTTGAGTATGAAACAATGAGTACATCATTTAGGCCAAGATTGACGGTGACTAAGTAGGTCATCCATTGACGGGTTCATTAAGCGTTCTTAAAGCGGCGGCGTTGATACTAGAGCTGACCAAGTGCCCATCCCACCTTTTCTATGTTCAACACAATCCATCCTTGTATGAGTGGAGTCATTAAGTTGCATGTTTCAATCCTCTTCCCCATTACTCATAAAAGAGGAACCCTCGATTCAGGTACAAAAGACTATCATTACCACATGCACAATACTGCTTCATTCGCTAAATGTCACTGCCTAATACTAGCATTGTTTCAACATCGGTCATGGTGCACGCTACCAACATGGTTCAGTGAGTTGTTATCAATATGGGTGGACATAACAGTAAAGACGTCACAGCGAAAGTGACCTTTATTGTCACTAAATCTCGTCGTTGGTACTTGGATAATCTCCAAACTGTTGGTTTAGATAAGTTGTAACTACAATGCAAACTTTTTTATTTCGAGCATGGGTGTCCTATAAAGGAGGTTAGTTAGATTTGTATTACATTTGACAGAATGAATGCTATAGAAAGAGAGACATCATTGGATAGATTATGGGGTTGAGCCACTCGAGTTGCATCAATGTATCTTTCGGTCGACATTCATACACACTGGTCATGATTGTCCACACATGTGATGGTGCACATACAACTTGATGTACGATTTAGATGGATAATCAAATTGGTCCATACAATTTGAAAAAGATGGCATAATTACAAAACAAAAGTGGTACCAATTAATCAAGAATTTGGCGCACCAATCAAATTTAAAAAATGTGTATAGTAAATTTTCACGACCCGTCAACAAATTTAGGCGGGTATTACAGTGGCTCCAGTCTTTTGAGATAGATAGTTTTATATGAAATTCAAGCAAACAAGCAGGTATAACTAAATACACGAACAGCACAATACAAACCAAAGAGCGGAATACACAAATACAATGCATCTTTTCGGAGGTCCAATTTCACAGCTTTGCCAATGTGAAAGGAAAAACCTATATGAGAATGGCCCTATTTTACAGCCAAAAACAAAATAATTTCTGTGCAATCAGCAACTTCAATACTTCATAATTCCAAAAATAAACGAAAAGAGAGAAACACGAAGTATGGTGGCCATTTGGAAAAGCAGAGAACCATCAAGTATGGTGGCCATTTGGCACTCAAAAAGAAAACAAGGGAGCAAGACAGACAGAAGAACAGAGCACGACACCTAAACGAAGCTGCAGACAAAAGGAAAGGTAAAGTTAGGAGAGCACCCAATCCATCATAAATGCATAGAAACCTGCTGTTCCTACAGATTTTAAAAGTCTATCTTCCCTCCTAACCTTTCCTGTGGGTGGGGTTGGATGTTTTTGGCTTATGGTGAAGAGGACGTTTGTTGGCCAATAGAGACATGCATTGCCAACCATTCCTAGTCAAATCTAAGATCATATTGAGATTTGAGAGCCTCAAATTGGGTACAAATACCCATACATGTTTGGTTATATAACCCCATAGGTCAATCACAAATAGGGCTCCTCTTCCAACACCATCGAGATCTCAACGGTCAACCATCACAAAACGTGGATACATTTTGTCCGAATGAGGGTAAATCGAACGAATCACAAAGCCAACGAGGGCTATGCTTACTCCTTTGAGACTAAAAATACCCTAAAATAGATAGAGGAAGAGACAGTACCATTGCCCATACATCAACAAAGCCCCATGCTCAAAATCACTAAATCAGAGGGAAATCAAGAACAAAATTCCAGGAGCAGTTCACACACACCGGAAGGAAAATCGCAAGGTGCGTTTCTTACCTTTGACGACTCCCGATCCCGGATACCTGAAGAAGCAACAAGTAGAAATGAATTCGAATGCCAGTTGAGATTCAGTCCCAATTCTGCGTCGACGGCAAACACACTCGATCAATCGCGGAATTGGTGGTGTCGGCGACTGGGTCATCCCAGTTAATCGCCGCAACGGAATTGAGGGTAGGAGATTTACGACCTGGTTTCATTAAGTTTTATGTATTATACAAAGCATAAACGCAGCGTTTGAAACCTTCTCCTTTGTTCCGTAAAAAAAAAATAACCTTCTCCTTTGCACAAACTGATTGCTACCCTGTTCCAGGCAAAGCCGCGCAGGGGAATAACTCCACAACAGCCGAACGTTGGCTTGCACTCCGACTCCAGCTTCTGGACAGTTGGTAGACGTTGGTTCCCGGGAAAGCCCAATAAAACAAACGGGCCGAGCTTCTCGGAGTCGCTGAGTCGGAGTCGGACGGAGATTGAGAATCGCCGGGGAAACAAATACTCGATCGATCCTTGCTCTGCTCCGTTCCAGCTCGATTTTGGTTTACGGAGAGTCTGGCACCACTCACCCTGCTCCGAATCCAACATATCCCCAACTTCTCCCTCCATCGGTACCACCCCATCTGCTGCTTTCCCCCAACTCCCACCGCCGGCGGCACCCCTTTCGTTCCAATCCCCTTTAGTCGCCTCCACGCCGTTCAACATCCTTCGCTCCTCCATCAGGTCCGTGGCCTGCAACCCCTACACAATAAAAACCACGGATTAATTCAATTCAATAAACAGGACCTTCCTCCCATGATCGGTGGCTTCACCAGATTTGATTAGGAGGAGGAGGGATTTCGACCTCCCATCTCCAGATTCTGCCTCTTGAATCCCCTTCCTCGACTATCAACCTTGAGCTCTTCTCCCCAAACTTCGATACGAACGACAGCTGGGTTTGTTGTCTCCGCCCAGAATCTAGATCTGCGCCGAGTCTTCGTCGCCGTTCCTCCTTGCATGCCGCCAATTCCATGTTGAAGCAAGCATCGGAGTTGAGATTGGAATTGGAGAATCAGAAGGAGAATTAGAGGATACGAACGACAACTGGGTTTGTCGTCTCCACCCAGAATCTAGATCTGTTGCTGGTTGGTGGCCGATGGTTTGATTGAAGGGGGCAGGTTGGGGAAACGCTGGATTACATTGAAGGGGAGTCAGGGTCGGATATTGGGTCAAGGTCGGAGATGGATCTTCCTTTCACGATCACAACTCTTCCCCCACCACCCCCGCCAGCTCGTCGGTCTCCGGACCTATTTCTGTGGCTAATCCTTCCGGCAACTTCCCCGTCGGATTCGACCGAGTCTTCGTCGCGGTTCCTCCTTGCATGCCCGCCAATTCCATGTTTCCCGGCGAATTGATGAAGCAAGCATCGGAGTTGAGATTGGAATTGGAGAATGAGAAGGAGAATTAGAGGATAAGAAGGAGATATCGAGAAGAAGAAAGAGAACAGGAACAGGGAGCAGAGGAAGGAGGAAGAACAAGTACAGAGGAAGGAAGGATTTATTTGTTTTCTGTTCTCTCTTTTACTGTGAGGGATTAAATTAAATGGTCTCTGTTTTTTTAGCTTTTTGGGTATGGGAAAGTGAAATGTATGGGAAAGTGAAATGTATGGGTGAGAGGAACAAGAGGCTTCCCATAAGAGGAGAGAAGAAACGGCGAAGAGAAGGGGTTAGTTTTAGGGGTTTAGTTGCAATTACAATTAAGTATAAATTGTTTTAATAAATATAAAATAGTTGATTAGTTAATAATTAAATATAAATAAATCAAATTATTGTAACCGTTAGATGTGTTCAACGGTTGAGATTAAACAAAAAAGTGGGTGCGTTCAGTGCACCCAAAAAAGTGGGTGCACCGAAGTGGCCACCTATATATATATATATATATAATATTATAGGGAAAGTGAAGAATCTAGAGGCTCCAGAGACATGGAGCCAACCTTCATTCTTCGCAGACTTCTCTTGTGTAAGCTTTTCATGAATGTTAGACAGGGGTCCCAGCCACTTGGATCTTCATCAGTGTTGACACTCTCAATCTGTAGTACAAAACACTCCAGAAACATGTGTGGATACTGACATTTCCAAAATGTTTGGCACCGGAAGTTTGGAAACAAAAGGAAGCACTAACTCGAAATCATAATCGATCTGTGATCTCTCACCCTTGCAGACAAAGTTGGTTGTTGTAAACCAAACCCACTAAAGAGTTTGTCTATCCTATCAAAATAACCATACTCATGGCAGGAAACATAGTTAGAGGAGAATTCATGCATCACCTGCATCATTCACATGCATCTGCATAAAATCCCAGACATTTTCATTAATTAAGAGAACAGTGTATTTGACATAGCGGGCAAGTTTGAGTGGTGAGTGTCTAATAGCAGAAGGGTAGGATTGATGTGATTCAAAATAGACAAGTAAGGATTGAGAAAAATACGAAGCAAGCAAGACGGGCAATAATATACACATAGCTCATTTTCTAAACACAAATCTGATGGCTAGAGATTAGTAAAAAGTTGACAAATCCTGTGCCGGAGATAGACCAATCAGAGAACTAACCAAGTAAACAATGAGTGTCGCGCGGCCCATGCATCCCTCGTTGATGGCCCAGCCCAGGCCCAGCCCATTGGACTGCATCACACAATGTGCATTCAGTTTATGTACTGACGACATTGACTTCAGTTCATTAACAGGCTGGAATAGTTTAGTGACCATTATTGCAAATACATCATAGTTTGGTGGCCATTTACGCATTAAGCCCATTTTTTCCTGTTACATCAATTTATCCCTCCCGGCCCCCCGGCAGTCGGCCACGTGCCCTTACATTGGTAAAATACTGAATCCAATCATCCATCCCTTGCAATATTCTCACCTTTCTCCTCTCTGTCTCTATCCTTCGTCTCCACCTTCCGGCCGTCATCATCCGGTCACAGAAGTCGGAATCTTCCCTTCTCCGCGCCACGGAACGCAATCAAACGGGCACGATCAAACAGAACGTACCGGAAGCCAGAAAAGGGGGGATCCATACGAAAGAATTATCAACATTCTTCCCCGCTGAGAGATGCATCCTCTCTACGCGGTGATCGCGACGAGGATGGTCTCGACGATGTCCCAATCCGGGTCCGGCGACGAGATACCGTACGGGACCGTCACCTGGTTCGTCTACGCCGGCATTTCCTGCTTTCTCGTCATCTTCGCCGGCCTCATGTCCGGCCTCACGCTCGGCCTCATGTCTCTCAGCCTCGTCGACCTCGAAATCCTCCAGCGCAGCGGTACCGCCGCCGAGAAGAAACAAGCAGGTGCCCTCCCGCCCTGATTTTTGTTATGCGTAGACAACCTTGACTTGCTTTTCCTTGTTGTTCTTGCCGAAATTGGATCACCGAATTCGCTCGATTGGAATTTACACGAATGTGTTTCTCAATTTGCCTTTGCCGTGGGGAATTGTTGTGCAGCGGGTATACTTCCGGTGGTTCAGAAGCAGCATCAACTTCTGGTGACTCTACTTCTCTGCAATGCCGCTGCAATGGAGGTAATTTACAGCAGAATTCCTCCTCTCGCCTCTTCAATTGCTCTGTCAAGAATTAGAAAGAACGCTTCCAACTAGTCAGAGATTTGGATTTTTCATTTGAACCCTAGTAACGCCACAAAATTGATTTGTGGCATCGATTCTTGAGGTCTGTTAGCTTGAGTGCAAGCAATAAATTGACAATTGACCGCTTTCAAAATTGCAGGCTCTACCTATATATCTGGACAGGATGTTCAACCAATACGTTGCAGTTATACTCTCAGTGACGTTTGTTCTGTTTTTCGGGGAGGTATATGTGCTTTTTTGTATACGTCGAATGAGCTTCTTTATGGCTGAGCTCTTTTTAGCTTTTATGGTTCCCATCATGGAATTATGTTTGGCCCTAAATAGTAATAGGTATCTTTTATGGGAGTAGGTTATTCCACAAGCAATATGCTCCAGATATGGACTCGCCGTGGGTGCCAATCTTGCTTGGCTTGTGCGAGTTCTGATGATCATTTGCTATCCCATATCGTATCCTATTGGAAAGGTAACAATCACCGTTCACCAATGGTACTTTTCTAGTTCTTCTTTATCCATTATCAATGAAATTTGCAGTGTATCAGCTACTCAGAATGAATGCTATGCTTGTAGTAGCATATGAAAAGATGCAGAATTAGCTATATATTAGTAGGAATCTCTCTGTTATTCATAGCCTCATTTTGTCATAAATTTTTTGTTTTCTTTATTCAGATGTTGGACTGTGTATTGGGGCATAATGAAGCTCTATTTAGGCGGGCTCAGCTGAAAGCCCTTGTTTCCATCCACAGTAAGGAGGTAATGAAATATCAGCTTCACGGTTATCCATCAAAGCTGCTCAAAGATAATATCTTTTTCTTCATCTTTTTGTGTGTATAACTGAGTAATTTTTCGGTCTATCTAGGCTGGGAAAGGAGGTGAACTTACACATGATGAGACGACGATTATAGCTGGGGCATTAGATCTAACTGAGAAGGTAAGCATCAACTCAAAGTAGCTTGTGAAAAAGCATGTATCTTGGTTCTTCCTGTCTACTCCAGTGATTTTGGATTCCAAGGCAGAGGTTTCGGTTACCAGTTATGCACTTAACTTGATATATTCTGTTCAAGAAGCAACCATTCATCTCGATTCAAGTTTGGTTTTGAACGATAATGTTGTCCGTGAGCTGCTCTTAGTGTCCAATTGGCACAGGAATGTATTCTACTTTTCTGAGTGAACTTTCTGATTCTTCTGGTTGGGAAATCTCAAGATTTGAAGCTATCGCTTTTTTATTGTCTTTTTTAATTTTTTTGGTAACAGACTGCTGAAGAGGCTATGACACCTATAGAATCAACTTTCTCCTTAGATGTCAACTCCAAGTTGGACTGGTAATTATTCTCTTTCTTCTGCCTGGTATCTATATCCTCTCCTCTAGTCCATCCATCATTTGACGTGCATTACTCTGCTTCCTCCCCTGAAATGCTGATATGCTGTTCAGGGAGGCAATGGGTAAAGTTCTGGCAAGAGGACATAGCAGAGTTCCTGTCTACTCTGGAAACCCCAAGAATGTCATTGGACTTCTCCTGGTGAGCGAGCTTTTTAATAAAAAGCTAGAAAGTGGAATTTTCACTCTCTGACAATCACCATCTTTCTAATTTACCTCATACTATGTGTGGTACTAGGTGAAAAGTCTTCTCACAGTTAGACCTGAAACAGAGACCCCTGTCAGTGCTGTCTCAATCCGTAGAATTCCACGGTAAACTCTTATTGATCTATTCCGCTCATGTTTCTCCTTTCTTTTCTCTTGCTATGAGGATTCAATAGAGATATTCACTCATGACGATTAACCTCTCCAGGGTACCGTCAGATATGCCACTGTACGATATACTAAACGAGTTTCAGAAGGGAAGTAGCCATATGGCAGCTGTTGTTCGGGCCAAAGGGAAAAGCAAGACTGAAAAACAAGAAGAAAACAAAGCAACAGGGAAAGATCAGCTAACGACTCCTTTACTGTCCAAAGTGGAGGAAACGCCTGGGAGTGTTGTTGTGGATATTGACAGGTTTGCAAGTCCAAGGGCCGGGTACGGATTGCCTCAACAATCAGATCAAGATATAGAGGATGGTGAAGTTATTGGTATCATCACCTTAGAGGATGTGTTTGAAGAACTCCTGCAGGTACATATGACAAAGTCCCGGCCCTTTATCATTGACTAGCTACATCTGTAAACGTTGATTTCAGTTGGCCATTATATTATTAACGATACTGTTGGTCTCGTTAACTTTGCAGGAGGAGATTGTGGACGAAACAGATGAGTACGTTGATGTTCATAAAAGGTATCGACATGAATCATCCTAATGGTTTACTGGAAACCAGAAAGACTTATATGAACCTAATGACTAACATAAACCAGTTTTCCGTTAGCGTATGTGCTCCATTTTAAACTGCCCTTCCTTTTTCTTTCTGCAGAATTCGTGTGGCTGCTGCTGCAGCAGCAGCATCATCATTGGCTCGAGTACCATCAGGTCGGAGGTTAATAACAGCCAACAAAGGCCCTGTAAGTGGTTTAAGTCAATCCAGGTTGCTGTCTTATTAATCTCTTCGTCATGTTGTTTATGATTTGGTAAATTAATTTCACAGGGTGGGCAGGGGAAGTCGGGGCAAACCCCGAGGAAATCCGACCACGATTCGAGTACCCCAAGGTCATTAGGAGGAAGTGTCGATGTCGCTGCAGAACCTTTTGTGATCAAGAGATCATAGCATAGTACATAACAAAGTTCCATGCCACTGGCTGCAGAGTTTTGATCTTGATCCTGTAATTTTTTTGAGGCAACGATACTCAGAGAATGAGAGATCCAATTTTTTTCTTTTTTTGTATGCATCCGATCCTGCCCACTGGTGTGCCTTAAATGATGAAGTACAAAATATCATTGTAGCATATAAATGAAAAAGGGTAGTCTAACGGACGTACGTATTCTGCATATAAACGTACGTATTCTGCATGTGTATTTTATACCACGTACGTGCATGCCAGTACGTATACAAACATGAACTTCTGCAGATCGAATCTTTACAGCTACGGCCTTCTGTTGAACATCGATCAGATGGAATGAAAGGAAGACACAGAACTCAAAAGTTGAAGTCAGTTTATTCGTCGTCGTCGTGGTCGGAATCCCAATTGAGAAGGATGAGGGAGCACTTCCAGATGATGTAGAGACGAGTCCTCTGCTCCCTCACCGCCCTCCGCCATGAAATCAACTGTGGAAGCTGCTTCTGAAGCCGCTGCGGCCTCATCCATCCCAGGTAATGCCTCCCCTTCATGATGAACTGCAGCAGAAAATCAAGAACAAAGAGAAAGAAGAATGCTTGAATTTTCCAGAAGAAAGTGATTGTTGGAGTTGTGAGTTGGGAGTGTGTATATATATAGAGCCTGCAGCATGAATACAAGAGCAAAGGGGGGCCTGAGGGGGAGAAGAAAGGTAGGTGTGTCCTGTTTGACAGAACAGCCACCTGGAAACTTAATGAGAAGATTTATAGTTTTGTGAGGGGAAGGGTTTCCCCACCATAGCTTATCTCTAAAATTTCCATGCCCTACCTTTGTCTCCAATGTCCCCATTAAGCTCTCAACTTCCCTTATAACAGAAAAAAGGCCAAAGGTGGGTTTTTTTATTTATTTATTTTATGAACACCAACCAGCTGAGGTTGGGAAGCAGTTATAAGGAAAGGTTACTGTTGTCTGCATCGATCCATATCGGGAAACCACACGAGGCTGTGCAGTTACTGTCTCGATTGAATTAGTGCTACGTACAAGGACCAAATAGGAGCATATACAAGCCGCAGTTAAACAATTAATCAGCAGCTATAGTTTGCTGTCTGTAATAATCAGAAGCCTGCTACTGGGAACAATAATAAGAACACAGGAAGTTAACATCATTCTCTAAGCAGTGATAAGAGATAGAAAGATTCATTCGATTTGTCGAATAGTTAACCTGCCATTTGTTTATTAATCGCAGATGATTATAATCTAATCAAGTACTGCAGAATCAAATTCAGAGGTCCTCTACGTTTCCACTGTATGCTCACCTTAACATCGAGGAAGTCTCATTCTAACGACTGAGCCATTCAAAGGGAAGTTCTTTCTCTCTTCTCACACTTTGAGTCAGTTTTAGTATTCCTTCGCTCTTTGGAGCTTTCATAGAACTGCTCACCCTCTGGTATAACAAGCACTTTCATTGGGAGTCTGGTTGTATACGGACTACCGTTTTGAAATATGCATGGAACGTTTTGAAATATGCATGGAACGGGACCCAGGTGCATGTATACAAGGAGGCCTTGTCAACAATGGAGGCCCACTTGTACCTTGAAGCCCACGTGGGGAATCACATGTGCTCCTTTCACTTCTGCACTTAACTTTTTCCAACTCAAAGCCCATTAGGCCATACCCTCGTCTGTTCTTGGCCAATGAACTTCGTTTTCCCACTCATAATCAGGCTATTATTATTATTATCAATCTGTGTATTTTTGCCTGTCAATCAAAACGTAACTACGGGTCACGTATAGCCTTATCTTGCACAGTAAACGTGGTGTCCACCACCACATCTCAAAACCCAACAGCTCGAACTGACTGTGTCATAATCCAAGCGTGTCTAATCATATGTAGATGTCCCAAGTTTGCCATGTTAAAGCTTAGCCACCAAAGGGTAGCTGCCCTACAATTCGACCACCCCCACCATTGTTGTTTATCGCGTTTGAAAGGCCAAAGGAAACCGGCTAAAACGATAAGATCTCTATTAACTAAACCAGCCTGGTTCAAGATTTATGTGGAGCCTGCCTGCACCTTTTTGCATATTTGACCGGTACCGCATATAATATTGTTCAAGTTTTTACGATACTCAATATTAACGGTTGTTTTAAAGTACACTGTATGACAGGTTTGTGTAAATTTTAAATTCATGAGTAGGCTTTTGTTTGAGAGAGTTTGTAAGTAAGTGATTAAGATTCATATATGAACATCTCATAACATCTTGAGATATTGAGACGTCTAGTTGGTTGATGACATGATATCATTTTAGTCGGTTTGACCAAGCGGTCATGTGTTTGAATCTTGACTGTCCCGATATTAACAGTTGATCTGAGCACAAGGTATATGGTAGGTTTGTGAAAACTTCAAGCCAATGAGTTGGCTTTCGTTTGAGGGGCATGTAAGAGAGTGGTATAAAATCTATAATTAACATTCTCCCAATAACTCGAGTTACGTGGACCAACTGGTTTATGACTTGATATTAGAATTGATTTGCCTTTAAAGTCACGTATCTAAATCCTTACGGCACCCGGTATTAATTATTGTTTTAAAGCCAAATTGTATATCAAACTAATACAAACTTCGAACACGTACATAAGTTGGGTTTTGTTTGAGGGGCTAAGACGATCGAGTTGGTTGGTTTATGACATATACAGGATTAGTGGTCATTCAGCTTTGGAAAAACCAACACGGTGACTCAACTTGGATTCACAAATCAACATGTCATTCGAAGTTTAGGTTAACTGACCCAATAATAATCAACATGCATGGACCAAGTATTGGTTTGAGTGATGGAGAGCAGCTAGCAAGCACACGTGGCAGACACGACTAGTCTCTTGGAGACAACAGCTAAGGTCGTTCTAAAAAATCATGGATAGTAAGCCCTAAAGGCAGTCCGAGAGAAGTTAAAGGTGAGGCAGGTTGGAGGAGAAGATAAAAAGAGGGTAGTGGTGGGGGTGTGATTATGTTTGGTCGACGAGACAAGTTTGTTTTTAGGGTGGACCTTCACTTTGTCGAGTGAGATATCTGTATATATCTTGCAATTATCATCCCTTTTTGTTATGATAATTAACAACTTGGATATCTAGCTATATATAGGATGTGACTAACTGAAACACCACAGTCACAACATTCCCTTTCAAGTGGCCTGGCCAATAGCCATGGCTCTCTCTCTTGATTCCAATTACTGATGATCAATCTCTCTTTTCAATTGTTTGGTTTGTGTTATAGGACGGTGGGCTGTATGACCAATGTTCAAGGATGGTGATATGATGATGCTCTGGATCTCTTGGAATATATATAACTAGTAATCAGTCCGTGCTTCGCGGCGGGATAAGTTTGACCTATGAAGTTTTATGGATTATGGAACACTACCCTAAGCATCATTGTTGTTTAATAACCTCTGTCAATGCAAGGAAACATAAGGCAGTGCATAATAACCTTGTCAAGTCCAAAAGTTGTCGCAAACCATAAAATCAAACCTGAACATTGTTTTCACTCTATCAAAGCGGGAGAATAGAAACCTAGTTTAGGATAATAGAAGCGAATAGGATGCATCAGAAAGTATTTTCGTCATTGATATCGATGATCACTTGTCCATTCTTGAGGTATACCAAAGTGTTGCAACTCTTATGTGAGATACGGCTGATGAAGTTCTGTTCTTCAAATCCGAGGAACCGATGTACAGCTCGCCTGCAAACATTCTGTTACACTTTTTGACCAACAATGCCTTTGCCGATTCTGAATCGAGTTTGTTGTATTTGTTGGGGGGCATGCCGATTATTGAAAGAGTTGCCTCATGGTCCAGTATGACGTCAATATCATCAGATCCTTGTTCACATTTGACTTCCAATTGATAATGCAAGCTAGTTATGTACGTAAGTGAAAAATTGTGTTAGCTTATTTGCAAATAGATCAAGAAACATAGGATGTAGTGTTGTCTCTAAAACTGAAAACTTACGCTGGCCATTCCTCAGTTGTTCGACAAATGCTTTTTCGAAATTTTAACTGTGATATGTGGAACTTGGCATAGTAAAGTACCTAATATGAATGGCACATGTTGATTAGATATGCCTGAATGTATAATGCAAGTGTAAAGTGTAAGCGTTTGTGAGACGTTCTGTCCATAACAAACCTTGTGGCAACTCTGATCAGATGCGAGCATTGCTTTTATGTCTGTAAGTGTCTTCTTCTCAATTCCTGGGCGATGGCAACCTATTTTCTTATTGGTGTCGGCATCCATGTAGTAAACTTGCCTGCGACTATAAAGGAAGCTGGTTGTAGCAAAAAAATTATAAGTGTTAGTTTTTGCTCTAGTTGACTGGTAGTACGTATGATTCAAGGAATGAATAGCATTTATTTAGAAAGAAATGTACGTGTGCATGATTTCCTTGACTGAGCCTGTGTAAGATCTGATCATCAACTCACTGGCAGGAGTGGATTCAAAACGGTATTTATACTTCTGGCTGGACAAAGGTGCCACTCGCATGGCTGATTTGATGGTGACAATAAGGGGGCAAGTGAGCCTCAGCTGTTGGCGCATTCTCTAAGAACTTTAATATATCATATCCTCGGTACTGAACAATTGCCTTAGCGCCACTGTTCGGGGCAGAGATATGTGAGGTTGATGGTTCATATAATTCACAAATTAACACATTATTCTATTGAATGTACCTCACATCCTGTACGACCATATGAAATTCTCGGAGAGTACCACGAACTGTTGTTGGAACACTGACACGTCTGATGCATACAGTGATATCTGTGGTTGACAAAGAATCTTGTCGTCTTTAAGTTTAGGCTTATTTTAGAATGGTGAACAAAGATAGTCAAATGTACCTGTATGATAGTCAATGGTACTTGTCTGAAGTGGTACTATCGAAAAAGCCATCCCAATGTCCCAACCGACGGGCATGCGTGGGTCATCTGGGTCCTCTTCAATCCCTGAAATGTTTTGTTCGGGAGTTATGTGGATCCTTAACTCGCCTGGAACAATCCTTGGATTCTCTCTTGCTGGTACAGCCACCACCGAATCGAACCGATAAAGGTTCCCGACTTTTATCTTGCGAGAAATCTCGGTGATGTCTTTTTCATCAACCATTGACTCGATCAATCGTGCCTATAAGAACAACAGTTTAGCGATTTCAAACCGTACGACGCACTGGTTTTAAATCAATTATGAAAGGATTGTTCAATCTTGTAACTGAATTGTAAATAAACCTTCTTGTCTATCCAAATCATGTGCATGCTGATATCTTTTAACTTTGATGCCTCTCGGAATTCAAGCCACGCTATCACAGGCCGAGCAATAATTGTGCGGTTGTTTGTGCCCAAACGCAACCCCCGAAATGGCATGCAAGTATCGATCGGATCTATCAGATAATAAAGGGAAAAGAAATGGATATTTTATCTTTCTTGTAGAGGATTCGAGATTCTTGGGAGGATTTATTAACAAAAATGGAAGGTTCTGACCTTTGTCATCGATGGGGACCATGTGACCGCTCTCTGTTGACTGGTGGTTTTTGGGTAAACTCTCCATGTTGGGTGGGGCTTCTGTGCAGACAATTCAAGTTTCGATAAGAAGTAATTTTTCAGGCGTAAAACACGAGAAGAAGAGGAAGACGTGGACTTACCTTTGTCCTAAAGCTTGTCTGGTAGTTTCTGTAGTGGGTCTTGCGCCGTGGGGAAGGATTGACGAAGATGTGGACGGCGGATGTGGTTGTTGAGGGAAGATAGGGTTTTAAAGGGGAATGTCCATTTTGGACGGGCTTGCAATGGGTTTTTATTTGTAGCCCTAAAGCGTCATTTGAATTGGGCTTAAATGGGCCATTATATTATTCTTTTACAATGGGCCTGTATATTTGCTTATTCTAGTTTCTTATTAACCTGCGGATTTGTGGATTAAGGTCCAAGCAAAGTAATTTATACATAATCGAAATTTCTATCTAAAATTTTGATGGATACAATTCTAATAACTCAGATTTCTCATCTATGATATTAACCATAGGATATGTTTGTAGAACTGTTCGCCAAAAGCAAAGATGAATGTAGTTCTTGATCATTTGTGATTTGATGCATGATTAAGACAAAATATTCACCTCTCTGAGCTGTTAAGATACAAACATTAGAGCCTTCTAGGCTGATAAAGCACAGAAAGCGCCGTCTAAATTATTGTCAACATGAGTGCATTTGAGAGATCCTTCGATCCTGTAAGAGAAAAAATCATTTATATCACGCATATTTGCTAATATAGACATTGATTAATTCAATAGGTTTAGTAGAATTACCTGATATGCAGTTTAGATATCCATAATATTAGCAAATGCTTCGGTGAAGACGATGTTTCTTGTAAAGTCGTGGGGGATTTCTGTTGGGTTTTCTATAAGTATCCTCAAACCTCTCGCTGATTTTACTCTTGAAACTCCCACATAGAGTTGGTCGTGGCTAAAAACTGGTTCAGGCAAATATATCCCAACTTTTTCGAGCGTTTGTCCTTGGCTTTTGTTTATAGTCATTGCATAGCATAATCGCACTGGGAATTGCCTCCTTTTGAGTATAAAGGGCCACTTGGAATTCTCCACATTCAACACTATTCTTAGTATAATGACCTCATCAGTGTCATAAGAACCGCCCATAATGTTGCCTTTTATATAATTGTCTCCCAAAGCTGTGATCATGATCCTTGTGCCATTGCATAAACCAAGACCAGGATTCAAGTTGCGTAGGAGCATAACTGGTGTGTTTACCTTTATTGTGAGCTCATGGTCTGGCACTCCGTTGAATGTAAGAGTGTTGAGAAACTTAGTTGGATAGCTTTCGTCGAATGAATCTGCTGTTTCTGTCGATAGCAATAGTGAGTCTGAGCTGTAATAGGTTGTCGAGTTTCCTGGAACACGTTGAAGCATATAATTATTGATTGTAGAGAAAGTTGCATTGGTTGGAGTAACTATGGCTCTAGTGGTGAGGTATGATGGGTGTCTATGATTATGAGGAAACGAATCATATATATCATCTGCAATTGACTCGACAGGATCATTTCCGGGATCAATCAAGAACAGCTGTGGTATTTGTATCCAATCCATTGGAGCATCTTCTCTAAATGATGTTGCTTTTAGTCTTCCATCTCCTAAAGCAAGAACCCATTCTGGAAATGTGTACCCATGTATAAGATGCTGATCAACATGTTGTACGGTTGTGATTCGCATGTTTGTAGACAGCTGCATTACTTTGAAATAACTCCATAATTTGGACCTAGTCAATGAACTATCAACAGTTTGTTCACGTCCAGCCTCGGTGATAACCAGAAGAGTTTGCCGAAAATCTCCACCAAAAAGGATCGTCTTTCCTCCAAATGGTTTGTAACGATCCCCATGCAGTGGAACATTTAATATATCACATAAACTTTGATTTACTGCTTCAAAAGCTCTTCGATGTGTCATAGGCGCCTCATCCCATATGATTAAGGATGCTTCTTTTAACAGATCAGCCAAATGTGTACCGTGTTTAATTGGACATGTTGACGTTGCATCCAGGATGAGAGGGATTTTGAATCTAGAATGTGCCGTTGTTGCTTTGGGAAGAAGTGTTGTTGCAATCCCCGATGATGCGACCAGAACAACTATTTTTCCCCAACTCCTAAGCTTTGCTGTAATTACATTATAGAGATACGTTTTGCCCGTACCTCCGTGACCATATAGGAAGAAAGCACGACCCATCTTGTTCTGCACTGAGTTGATGACTGCTGAATATACATTGGTTTGCTCAAAATTCAGAGACTTCAACATAGAGGTGGCTAATGCATGTTGCTGGTTTGTATCAAAAGCTAGATGCTCGTTTATGAGTGGGTTCTCGCCATTATCGCACGGACCATCGGATGGGAGTGGAAGATTAAAGTCCTCAAGAGTCATTGAGTGTGAGCTCAACATAGCCTGTAGTTGATGTAGAACCCAGTTATGTAATCGTTCGTCGCTAGGCCTCATAGTTTGATCCCTGAGATCATTGACTGAACTATATGCATAATCTTCAGACATAGACTTCCAAGAATAATTGAACAACGTGATCGGGCTAGGTATTTCACAGAATATAAGCATTGACACGAAAGTGCTTCGAATCACCCGTGGCATGCTAGAAGATGAGATATCATTTAGCACTCGTATCCACTCTAAAGAATATGATAAAAGGCCCAATTTTCCACAAGCTTTTTCAAAATCAGAACAAAGTTCTCCATTGACAGTTCTCAGATGAGCATAACTGATAGCACCGCGAACTTTCGTGAGCAGCATTTGGAGGAAAAAAACATCGCCAGAACCTGGCGGAACATATGCAATTCTGCCTATAGCAAATCCTTTTTTGCGAGGACTCCACTCTTTATAGTCAGGTAGCCAAGTGTAGTTGTTCGGTTTCTGTGCATATGTAAGAATTCTTGCTTGGGGATCCCTACGATTAAGCGCAAACCATTCTGTTAAGTGCGTCTTACCGACGTATGGATTCCCCAAAATATTCCGAACATTGGACTGTTTCTTATAAGGTATTTTTTGCTGGCCATCCAAATGAACTCCTAAACGCACTACTGCTGGTTCTCTTACATGTATTGGATATTCATTCAGCCTCCATATAGCTTCATAAGATGACAACGATCGACAGTCAATGAATTGTTGAATTTCATCTCTGTGTCTCACAGGCTGCACTTCTGCATTGCTTTGGGGTGCATCAGCATTTTCAGCAATCACTAATGACCTGTCCGGCCCTTTCGTCACATATTTGAAAAGATATTTAATAAGTTTGCCTTTATGACATACATTGATATGAGCCTGCATTCTCACTAACAAATTTCTGTTGTATGGAACAACATGTCGATTGTCGAGGACTGAACTTCCCTTTTGAACCTCTATGCCAGAGTTAGATCTTCTGTAGATGACATTTCCGAACTTGTCAAATGACGTTGCTGAGTTAAATCTTTTGGGAATTGTTTCAAACATCTTCCGTTGGAGGGCCGTTTATTGTCTCGCATGCACGGTGCATTTGTGTTTGCTTCTCCACATGGGCCATGTAACATATATTTGCAAACAGCCTCATATCCAACTGGATCTTCTTGGGGGTCGGGAAGTTCGGCTGAGATGACTTCATCAATATCATCTGTTGTCCTTAGTTTATTCTCTTCAGCCAGCCAAACCAACAAGTGTATGTGAGGCAAACCTTTTTTTTGAAACTCCACTGTATACATTACTGGTGCAAAGCCAAACTCGTTAGAAAGGGAGGTATCCAAATATGTGCATTGAAAAGTAAGTGATTGCTAATACTGACCAAATTATATTAAATGATCATACTGCTCTTACTTGCGATTGTCTTCCAAAAGTAGGAGTTTTTCTTAATGTCGTCGATGAGAATGCTCAGCTTTATGTGGAAAACCCTTGAAACCACCATTGGTTTGTCCGAACAATTCGGGCCAACAATATCACGAAAAGCTTCTGTTATTTCTTCCCACAATGAATTACACGTAAATGTAATAAATAGATATGGATTTCCATAGAATTCGACCACCGCCATTGCATCGTGATATAATTGTTGCATATATCGTGGGGTGCCTATATAAGTCCCAGGGAGCACTACATGACCCACTTTATCCCCATCAAGATCACCTCGCGCCATTGCATCTTGCAAGCCTTGATAAACCTCATCTCTAAGTTGTGGCTGATGGTAGCGCAAAAAAGCTAGCCTATTTAACTCTATTGATGAATAGGCGTCTATGCAAAAGTGCTGAAGAGCTTTTCCAGAAAGCTGATGTATAATACTCACGCTGAGTAACAAACTGTCGATGCATAGAAGGAGGACAGAAAGCTGACCTGTACTTGATAAGTGGATGATAGCCATCCTCTCATATGGAAATAAGAGCGGGAAATGCAATGCATCAAATTTTGGATTGAGACTTGTAATTCTCTTCAAACCCTCATATATGTGATCAACAATGACATCTCGATCCTCTCTGTCCGGAATAAAATCGCCCGGTATAAGTGTAGCGATTTCAGTGCTGCTGGGCAAGTCATACTGTCGATTTCTGCTCTTAGCTCCAAAAATTCGAAGCTTTAAACTTGTTGTTGCAGAATCTTGCAGCTGCTGCCGAACCCGCCTAAATGTTTTGACAAGTTCATTATGCTGATCTAACATCTGAAGCAATAAAGTGAGCAATTCTGGCATAAGTAGACCATCATGGGAAGCAAAGTTCGCCAACCGGTTGTCAATTTCATTCTCAGGTTCGAAAATATAGAGCTGAGCAAACTTTGGTTTTTCACCGTCAGGAGGCAGCAATGAACCAATTCTATGATAATTTTCTCCACATATAACCATTGAATAGGGCCCCCTTCCAGAGAGAGAGCGAGGGTCAATAGAAGCGCCAAACGATGTGAAGCACAATGAACCATTGTACGGTCTAATGTTATCCCTGAAATGCTTCGACATAGACCATCAAACCGCAGAAGTTCAGCCAACAAATGTGGAGGTTGTGCTATAAGCGGCAAACCAACACGACCTTTTTGACAACATAATCCATAGATTGGATTAGTTGTTGCTCGACGCCGATCGAGTCTTTCCATATCCCAAAACAAAGCACCACAGTATTTACAGACACATTCTGGCTGACCTATTCTCAGAATATCATTGTGCAGTGGCTTCCTAGCTGTGGGAATATGCCTACTACAAGATGGAACCTCACCTGACCGCCGCCGACTTGAACGATCAGTTCTTCGACGGTTAGCCTCTGTTACTCGACCGCTGTTTTTGTTACATTCAGCCTCTACATCAAGGCTCCCCTGTTCCTGATAAAAAATGGGTCGAGTTATATCTCTGGATCCTAATTGTTTCATGGTCTGATAGCACGATTTCCTTGGCCGTGATGAACCTGATATATGCACAGCAAACATAAGAGTAAGCGACAATAAGCGCTCGATATCGACGGAAATAATCAACGTATAATATGTTCATGGGTATTCCATACTTCAAACAGCATATATAGCATAATATTGAACTCATCACCTGCTGGTGACGACGAAACTTGATGAAGATTCTGCAATGACCCCTGTATGTTGTTCTGAGTCTCGTTAGCTGTATCCCCAAACATAGCTGAAGAAGTTATAAGATCCTCCGATGTCTGCTTGGGAATTTCAACTCTAGGTCTCTTACGTGTCAAATTGTGATATTGAGATTTTCTTATTCTCGGAGGCATTGCTGCACAGCGAAGACAAAAAATGGGAAAAGATCAACACCATTTACTGCCGAGATGATTCAATAATCGGTTCCAAACAAATAGAAACCGATTCGGATATATTGAATGAGGAAGTGATGAAAAAGAATAACATTAACTGCTCTTACATACTCAGAAGACTCATTGATAACAAATATAAATGAGAAGTCACTCTACCTTCGACAATCAGGAACGTGATGGTTGTATAGATGAGTATCCAAATTCGTTGGGCAAGCAAAGGATACAAATGAGCAAATCTTAGATAAGTATGAGAGTGGGATGAGAGATGTTTCTGAAGAACTTAACATAACCCCAATGATGAAGAAAACCTATATTAAAATGTGCCATCATGGATATCTGAGCTATGCATAAGTATCTATCTATATTAAAATATGTTATTATGGGTATGTGAGACATGCATTAGTATATTACTTACTAACTCACAAAATATCTAACCTTATACCTGATTAATAAATTGAAGAAAAGCAAGCATTTTAGTTTGGTCTTTGTATAAAAAGAGGCCGCACCATGTTAAGAACATATATTCTCATCGCAGATTGCCATAAGCATTTTTCCTTTTCGAAACACGTGAGCTCAATTGGAATGCATGAACTATATTGACGAATTAAAAAGTACATTCCTATCCAACTACACAATAATTATACATGTTCAAACGTGCGTTCTTATGTCCGTGGTTTCCACATAAGGTTGAATATACTCCGACGGTCGTGGTAACTAAATTTGTAGAGGGTAATTTCAGAATAAAACATAGGTTTGTTGGGTTTTAAGAGGAAGAATCAACGAAAGCTCAGCAGAACTGGAACACGACAACGCTAAGAATTGGCATTCACCGAAGCTGAAAATTGAAATTGCCTATTCATCCAACGATAAGTAGAACTAACATTATATATATAGCACCCGGTAAGATCAAACAACATGGCAGCAATATTACAGTGAGCAACCACGCAAAAGTTATACAGAACAACATAAAGCAAAAGCACAGAGGGAATACATCCTCTGATAACATCCATATAGATACAGCCAGTACATATCCGAAACCAAAAGGGCTAAACCACGATCGTTCAAACCAAGAGAACAACTTGCAAAACAAAGATCAACATCTCCATCTAATATAAAACGGTTATGACTCCAGGGACACCATCAAACATAGATCAGTCCCTGCAACAAACAAAATAGAAAGATGAGAAACATCCCACGCACAAAAACTAACTTGCAACAAAAATGCTACGGAAAGACCGACGAGTAACCTTCAACCCATGATCACTTCTTAAACAAAGCACGCTTTGCCGCCGAATTCTTCTGACTATCCACTGAAGAATCCCTTTCCATATTAACTGATAATGTACAATATAAATACTTACACCGATGCCAAAGGCGAGGCGGCGGTTGAACCTAAGGTCTTCCCAGGAGATGATTCGGGGGATGGCTTCAGAATCTTTGAAGCAGGCATAGATGAATCACGACCAACATCTTGAGGACTCACTGACTCATCAATCCTGGATGATCGCTTCGGAACCATCGAAGTAGCAGACTGGACAGATGGAGCGCTGGATTGGACTGTAGAAGACGCGGCCGCAGTCGCAGCAGGTATGATGGACCCCACTTGTACACCCATCACTGAAAGCTGAGAATCTCCGAGAATCCATGACTCAGCATCAATGTCCTCGCTTCCGACATTTGCAGGAATAGGATCCCACAAAATCCTGGTCGCAGGGCTAGGAAATATGCAAACCATAATAACTAATTCAGACAGCATCCCTAAACAACATCACAAATAAGCAAAATAAGCTTCAAGAAAACCATGAATACCTCTCAATTAGATCTTGTTGGTCAGCGATGTAAAATGGCACAGCTGGAGCTTCAATGGGGATAGAATCTGAAACCTTTTCCTTTCCCTTCGCAGCCCTTGAGAACATATTACAAAAATTACTCACTTTAATCATGATAGATAAACCAACGCAAATCATACAGAAAACATAGCAAACAACACCAACCTCGATGAACCTGATGGGCCTCCCACGCTACTTGCTGCACCCAGAGAGGGAGAAGCCGACAGACGTGGCGAAGAAAACTTAAGCAAATCACCCACCAGCGTAGGATCATCAAGAGGGACGACCTGGGTAACACGGAATTCACCCGAAGAGAAACCAGTAGGGCCCGGCAACGACAACGACAACTTACAATCAAACTTCACATATTGCCCTCGCAATTGATGCAACTATGGGGGCAGCTGACCAGGACGATGGGGGAACCTTTGGGCTAGGTGTGCAGCAGAAACGTTGACCAGCGCAAGCGCACACCCCCCCCCCCCCATCAGTATAAAGCGAGCTTCGCAAGAGTCGTCCCTCAGTGTAAGCAAGAGCTTGTAGCTGAAGGAATAAAGAACATCAGCAGCAAAACTTACAACAGACAACAAAAATGCAAAAAAAAAAAAAAAAACAGATATACAATTATACTTGACCCGGGTCTGTTCCTCATCCAGCTGCCAATCCTTTGGGCACCAAAACGAATCATCACGATGCTTCGAAATAACCCTTGAACATAACTTGCATGAAATATAATACCAAGGTGTGTTTGACTCGACATCAACAATCACTCCACCACAACAATACTTTTCTTCCTACAAAAGAAAAGAAGGCACGTCACTTGCAAACACGGGAAAAAAAAAGCAGCAAACTTTTTGAGAGGAATAAGCAAAACCAGCGAGGAATTCGTCCTAGATAAGGCCAACAACTGTCCTAAAGTCTTGGTGCGATGATCTGCATCAGCTGTAGCATCAGCAGCAGTAGCATCAGCAGCAATAGCAAACTCAACTGGAAATGATGCAACAGTCTCATGTTTCTCAGCAAACCTGGTAGAGATCCAAGCACCATGAATACAACAACATAGAGTTCTTAATACACAACACATTACGCAAATACGACACGCAAAAGCGGCCACATCCCGCAATTAGCTTACCTAGATGCAAGATAATAAGCCTTAGGTACTGGAGGGTTGACTGCTATGCGAGTAGCGGCTGAACTCGACAGGACATAATCATCTAAAAAGAAGCACAAAAGAGACAAAAGAGAGGGGAAAACCAAGCATGCTAATAAGCCTCACATAATCCCGGGAAAAGGTGCATGCAAGAACGAAACCACAACATACCCCCCAACTTATTAACCAGCAAGCCGCCAAATGCCAATATCACACCTTCAAGAGAGTCAGCCTGAGTGAGAGCAACATGATCCAACACCGCCGAAAACTCATCCCAGAGCGTAATCGAAACCTTCGATCCACTGAGGAAGAATATAGGGACACGTAATAAAAGCAAAGAACAAACACGACACATACAACCAAACTCAGAAACCCAGGAAAGACGCATAATACCTTTCATCCTCAATAATAACCGTTTGCTTGACAGCGGGGCCGTTATTTGTGATCTTGTGCGATATCCCACTGATCGAATGGAGTCGGCAAACAACATCTACGAAGAAAGGCACACAAAGGCAAAATCTTAGTAAACAAACAAAAGACATATAAGCAAACCTAACCTAAGAAAACAAACCCACTAACCTGTCAAGTAACGATGATTACCGGCACGAATACTTAACTGGGAGAAAACCACAAACTCGTAAGCATCAACCGGGAAACTCTCAGCAGGAAGAGCACAGGGCAGGAAAGAAGTCGAATGCGAAAGGCCCAAAGCCAAATCAAAAGAACACGACCGATACTGATTCGGCGGATTGCTCAGGGCAAAGGACTTTATGACGTATATCATACCAACCGAGAGATTACGACGAATCCCAGCAGCCATTGAAGTCGGCGAAACGCCCTGAATCAGCATACCCTGCGCAAAGCACGCCAGCCCGGCTCGTGAACAAAACAAAGAGGCGAGAACAAACCAGAGCACAGAAGAGAAAGCGAGAAGGGTAAGAAACAAACCGTTTCGTTGGTCCAAAGAGTACAGTAATTGTAGATCCTGTTGTCCCCCGGAGACTTCGACGACCACACGTGCACCAAGCGGAGGCGTAAAGAAATCCCGGCATTGCGCGGATCTCCGAGGTTACAAAGCAATGTGAATTCCATGTTTTGGGAGACGGAGAGAACCAAAGAGGGTGGGAACGATTTTTTTTTAAGAAACAGACCAGAACGACAGAAAGGAAGTTTCGGCGCCACAGAAGAGTATAAAAAAGAGGGGTAGGAAAAGTAGTCTCAAGGGCGGTGCATGTCAGTTTCCGGTCCAATAATGGGCGGAAACGTAAGATAGGGCAAACAGCACCCTCGCAAAGAGATAAGCATGGAGCAAAATAAAAAACCGCCAGGGATATGAAGTATAAAAAGAAGCAGAGAATTTTGAGGCGCCGAAGCGGCGGGTGTCAGATACCAGGCCAAACGCAAAGAGGAACGCACTCCCCGAGGCCCAAATGCATGAGGCTGTGCAGAAGGAAAAAGCGGCCATCATTGGCCGGAATTCAGAAAAGCAAGAACAAATATACACGGCAAGAGAGAAAAGCAATGAAAGACGTACAGAATGACCGGAATAATCATTATAAGAAGGTATAATTCTCAGCAGGAATGCTCGAAGGAAGGAGAAGATGAAGGGAGAATGAACGTGCAGCTGAGGGCAACGCGGCACACACACAAACAACGGCGGGACCCAGACGCAGGGAACCAACCAATAAGCAAAGGCGGCTGGACCCAATCGCTGAGGATGCACTAATGGGAGGAGAGTGAACAGTAATTTTGAGTCTAAATGAACAGGAAAATCTTGTCTAGGTGTACAGTAACGTGTCTTTGCAAATAACTTGTTCTAATCTGGTCATGGATATATAAAAAAGTGATTGTTGAGACGGATTTTAGCACTTTTTGTGCAGTTAATTTATTTGGTAGTCGGTATCAATTCCGGTTTCTCTGTGATTTGAGATATTAGGTTTGTTTATTGTGATTTGTATGAAACCAAGTTTTGTTGATGTACAAATTGATCCATGAAGGAAATGTGTGGCTGACAATTTGAATCGATAAGATTGTGTCGGACTATATATATATATATGTATGTATGTATGTCATTGTGACTCACATTATTCTATCACTGAACCAAATGAAAGTTTAACATACATATTCACTTTGGTATAACATGTTGAAGATTCCTTTTCTCGTAAATATACAAACTTTTGAAGATCAAATCTCCTAAGTAAGGATGGCCCTTATAGACTCTTCATTTGCTAGCTAGCTAGCTAGCTAGGTTCTTCGGTGGATGCATGCAACCCATCGAAAAAAGTACATAGTCGTAAATATATATATATAGATCAGAGAGAACATATATAACATGTAAAAAACATTTTGGAATAATTTATTTGATTCGATCATGTTCCAACAACCCATTCAACAGGAATCATAACGGTTTATACCATCTAGCTCCGGTATGAACAATGATATTTGTTGGTGTGGGGTTGACTCATGATCCGTTCGTCTGATCTCGTCGGGAGGGAGAGACATGTGAAAGAGCCGGGGTTGCCCCCCGAATTAAGCTCCGACGATCAAGTTAGGTTCACTTTCAGGTGAGAGTGGAGAGAATAGATAAAGGGATAAAGTCTAGAGAGATAGTGGAAAGTGGGAAGTCAGGAGAGAGAAGAAGTCCCCTCCTTTGGAGGGCTTCAAGCCCTTATATACCTGTGGCGGGTATCGAGCGTTGGGCATCGCCGATTGTGCGCCCTACTACTTAGTCTGTGCGCGGAGTATCTTAGTAACACCCCTAACAATTGCCCCCCAAGCTGGTGGTGAGTTTTAACTCATCACTAGCTTATTATTATTTTTTTTTTTAAACCTTCGTCTGTAATTTTGGATGAAGCCCTATGTACCCCAGTTACCCCCCAGCTGGTGGCGCGTTTGGCTGACGCGGTGCCAGCTTCCTGCGTCATGCCCCCAGTTGGTGTGTTTCATTAAGCCGTTGAGCGCTCTTCTATTGGAATCTCCAAGGCGGTGAGCCATTGCTTGTTGAAAATTTTCCAAGGTATTGAGCACTCTCCTATTGGAGTTCTTCACACACACAAAAGTGTGTACTCTTTCATTGGTGCGCTTATGACAGCTGCACGATTATATTATGGGCTTACCGCGCACGTTTAGTGCCCTTTATTGGAGATAGAGGTAGTTGAACACTCTCATATTGTAGATTCACCGATGCTCTTATTGAAGTCTTATTTGTGTGCTTCGTTGAGACTTATTTGTAGATCACCGATGCTATTATTGAAGTCTTATTTGTGTGTTTCGTTGAGACTTATTTGTAGATCTTCGATGCTCTTATTGAAGTCTTATTTGTGTGCTTCGTTGAGACTTATTTGTAGCTTCTTCGATGCTCTTATTAAAGTCTTATTTGTGTGCTTCGTTGAGACTTATTTGTAGATCTTCGATGCTCTTATTGAAGTCTTATTTGTGTGCTTCGTTGAGACTTATTTGTAGCTTCTTCGATGCTCTTATTGAAGTCTTATTTGTGTGCTTCGTTGAGACTTATTTGTAGATCTTCGATGCTCTTATTGAAGTCTTATTTGTGTGCTTCGTTGAGACTTATTTGTAGCTTCTTCGAGGCAATGTGTCCTCTCCTCGTCGGGGTTTTTAACCCTCAGTTTGGAGTTCTTCAAGGCAATGTGCCCTCTCCTCGTCGGGGTTTTTAACCCTCAGTTTGGAGTCTTCGAGGCAATGTGCCCTCTCCTCGTTGGGGTTTTTAACCCTCAGTTTGGAGTCTTCAAGGCGTCGAGAGCTTGGTGAGTTTCTCATCTCCCACGTTGTTGGGTACGTCTTGCCCCCCATTAGCGCCATTAACGCTCAGTAAAATATTTCAATATTTAATAATGATAAAGGGATAGAGTACTTAACTTTATGTTGGCGAAGGGTGCGAAGAGTTGTTAAAATAAGAGTGATGCGCCTAAGGATCACAAGGCGCGTATGTAGTCTACTGGTAATGTTGCTTGTTTGGCGGAGGAGTGACACGGGTTCAAGTATTGGTGGCGGCGACATTATTTTTGCGCGGGCTGGAGGTGAAGCGAACCGCGAGTTGTTTGTGGGCCCTACGCCCGAACGCAAGCCCATGTGACGTGTGTGGCCTTTCGGGCCGTGAGTTCGATGCTGGCGGAACTTTGTGGATAGAGAAGTGGGACGCGAGTTGTGAAGCGGACCAAGTTGCGCGGGAGCTGGGCCTAATGGAGGTCGTCCGCGGGTCAGGGATGGTTCACCAAACGTTGGTGGGCTTGGCGGGACGTCGGAAGTGGGCCCGCGTTGCGGGCTTTAGGCGCCGGTGAAGTGGCCTGGAGCTAGCGGTGGACTTGAGAGGCGGGTCGGATTGGGGCATGTGGGCCGTGAAGATGCTGGCATGAGCCGGGGACGCGGAGCATTGGCGGGCTTTGTTGAAGGCGGGCCGCGAGTTGATTGGGGCATGTGGGCCGCGCTAGTGACATGCTAGCTTGAGGGACGCAAGTAGGACTCTTGGCGGTGGACGAGACTTCTTCTCATCATATTTTTTTTCTTTTTTTTTCTTCTTCTATTCTTTCTTTCCGCCTCCGCGTTCATTCTCCCTCCCGCTTGCAAATTATCACCGCGCGGAGCTTCTTCCCTGCTCAATACAACCGCGGAGAGATGAAGAGGTGGTCGGTGGGCAGAGATTCTTTCCTCCGCTCAGTGCAAACCGCACGACTTCCGGGAGCTCTTTGGGCGGAGGTGAGCGCGGTGCTTCGAACGGCGCTCGCGGCAGCGCTTCGAACTGTGCTCGTCGCGACGAGTGGCTCCTTTCTTTTCTCCGCGAGCACGGGTATTGGTGGAGCAGGGCTCGCGGCGGAATCGTTCTTGGCGATCGGTGGAGAGTTGTGCGGCGGAGGGGTTCCGCGCGGTCCGGCGAGGTTGTGGTGCGGGTGACTGTGACTTCGACAGCCTCTGGAACTCTGCTTGCCTAGGGAACTCCATCCTCCTTTTCCTCGGGTGTCGCGAAAGTCACGACTACTGTAGCCTAGCAGGCATAACGTATGAGAAGCAGAGGCAAGGTTTGAAGGAGACAGAGATGATGTTGACAAGACTGCAGTGCTTCTTCCATTTCCCTTCACCGGAGCTACAACGTCCCTTCCAATTCCGGTGGTCGGAATTGCCAAGATTTCGACAGTTTCTGTTTTTCTTTCAGCTGCTGCCGAGTCCTGTTTCTTCTTTTTCCTCTTGGTATGCCGAAGAGTTGCAGTAGATCTGGTTTTTTTTTTTTTGCCGGAGATTTCTTCTTTGCCGGAAGCTTGAAGCTACAGAAGAGTCGACGAAGATTTTTTTTTCTCTTTCTTATTCTTCTTCCTGTTCCTTGGCGGTTATGGTTATTTTGATGGGAGGGGCGGAGCTACCTCCCCGAGAATTTTGGAGATCGCGTGTAAGAATATCGAAAATTTTGAAAATTCTGAAGAAGTTAACTATTGTAGAATATCAATAACGTGCAATAATGAATAACAATGTCTGGGTCTAGTCTAACAGAATGCAACAGTTGCTTGGTATTTGTGAATACCTAGTACCATGGTTCAATCCTTGGCAGCAACATTGTTTTTTTAGTTTTCCTACTTTGGTTGAGTTTTTGCTTAAAATTAAGACTGATCACTTAACTTTTGTACTTATTCAAATACTTTTTAATTTCAAAGTTCAAACTAGATAATAAAATTTTGTAGCTTATAATATTTTTCTAATTTAGATAATTAAATTTTGGAGTCTAGATAATTAAATTTTGAAACTTATGACTCACAATGTAAATATTTTCTTAAATGTTTTTTACGGATATTATACAATAAAGTCCAGCCCCCGACCACTGGATCCTAGCTCCGCCCCTATGGGCATCATTCGACTAAACTTGTTGTCGATGATTGTGGCAGCGGAGAAAGGATCGGTTTCTTCCTCCCGTCGCATTGCTTGCTTTGCATTTTTTTATTGATGCTTCAACCATTCTCCATTTACATAGATCTTCTCCTCCTTTAGAAACCAGATGAATAGAATGTGTAAATCAAGCCCCACGGTGGGTGACTCGACTCTACTGTCACTCCAGGAATTGGCCAAGTGAAACCACTTCCTAAAGCGTAGTATAGCGGGTTAGGTTTATATGTCAACCCGGGTCCTAGATTTGATGACTACTCAGTGAATTCTTGTTATCTAGCAATGAAACTGGAATGCAAGTCTAAACTACCAAACAAACAAAGCAAGTAAACGGTTGTATTCAGGTTAAAGAGGTCACCCGGATATGGTTCCCCCTATACTGCAGTTAAGCCAGATTGTAATTACCAAGTTCAGTTTCTATGATAGTTATACTGCGGAAGGTTCTTAAACAGCCTGAAGTCTCGACTAAAGGTCTTCAGACTCTCTCAATCTGAGTCTCTAGCGGGCGACTAACCTCCACTGGAGTAAACAGATTGAGGCCCTAAGAACAAAACCTCCACTACCGGAGTAAATCCGGTACAGAATAGTGAGTTGGTTCCTCGACTAAAGTCACCAACTCCCTACCTTCAATCAAGGATACTCTATTAACCTAGGCAGATATTCTCATTCTAGGTTAAAGGAGAAACAACAGGAATTTGATCAGGATTCAAGTCATTCAATCAATCAAACCTCAATCGAATATAATCAATCATAGAATCATTACTTGGGTTCATACAATCAAACCTAACATACAAATCTAGGGTTCTCCATACCTAGATGAATGGGAGAACTACTCCATGGAGAAGAAAGCAAAAGCAGAATCAGACGCGGAATTCATACTGAGAAGGATGGATTCCTGCTTCTGGATGTTGATCGG